CACATTACAGTCATCTTGTTTACTTACATATCGGCCATTGTGAATTTCATACACAGGTATATGATAAACTTCTACACTGTGATATAGGGCTATCGAATTACTTGCGCAGCAAATTTTATTGTGATTATCGTGCAAAGTAGTTACGCAATTTCTACGGGCTTCTTATTTCATGCATATCTTAATAATGATCAAAAGAATGTCTAGATTTTTAAGATGAAAAAATGCGTTATATCTTTCACAAATCCTATATTTAGACGCAATTACATATCACTTTATATCTGTAATGTCGAACTGAGACATCATTATTTAAATTTCAATTGAGGAATATACTGTTGTCCAATATGGCGGGTGGTTATGTATAATCACGGCATCGTCCATGTTGTCTTTGGTTTATTAGAATATTTTGATGTTGTATGCAGGTGTTATACAACAATTTGACAAATGTCTCAAATAAAATACAGACAGAGTCGAATGATTTACCCAGAATTTGTACCACATCGTTATCTTCTTTTTGAACAGTTCACGAAACCTTTAAAAAAGTATGCATGCATTGTTTGTCTTAAACTATTGGTTATGACATTTTAGCTAAAGAGATGTCAGCAGGAAGTTAGGTTATGGTGAAGTGGTATACCATCATATTTAGCAACAAATGTATGCCGAGGACAGCAATTTTGTACTATAAAAGTTGTAATACTGTTGCAGATGTACAGCCGTTAACAGTTACTAAACGACAGTTGTATATGTGCTTCTGTTGGGTGTAATTTGTTGGCTAAAGTAGTAAATTTGCAAACCAAAACAACAAGCTCGGGTTTGTTGTATAAAAGTTACCATAAAATAGTTGTATGCATGTTTATGTAACAGTTCAAAATTTGTCCTATAAGGTGTTGTATAGCTATGCTATAAGAATATTTTAAACACCTCATTTTAGAACATATATGCTGCAGAAAGCAAATTTGCATTCCACACAACATTAAGCCAGCATTTTGATGTTCAGCCAACAACAATACGGCTGAACGGTTCTTTTACCAGAAGCTTATAGCACTACTTTGCTAGTTTTGATGTATCTTTCTTGTATATTCGCAGCAAAGTATCATACATCTCCTTGGCGTTTTCGCAGGCCATCAAGTGGATTTTCACAGACCTTTCTCCGTTCTGAGGATTGCATGCTGTCAATACTTCTGTTGCCCTCCTCTTTGCTGTTTTTTTTTCATCCACTCCATATTTTAATATATTTTACATATTATCCCGTCTATGATTTCCATTAAATGTTTGGCTCTGGAGAGCCGAAGAGGATCTTTATCTCGAAATGCCACATTGAGAAAGTGGGTTTGTCTCTCAGTTTTTGAACACTTGTTATTTTGTCGACTTTTGCTAAAGCCATGTGGTGTTCTGTTGCGCCTGTTATAATCAATTTAAATCTTGTTTATTCTTGTTTTCCTCGCATGATTTGTTCGTTTTCTATATTTATCCTTTATCCAGACTGAATAATGTTGGGCGCACCACTACAGATACGCATTCACGTAGTTGCGAGAACATCTCCTTGCATGATATGGAGCAAGCTCTGGACAGCTCTGGAGCTGACCGGTTCTTGCCCCAAGTCATTACAAGGACAACTCCAATTATAGTTATGCTTCACATTGTAGAACATGGCGCTGCCCGTGTCTTGCTCCAAACGATGCAAAATGTCAAGTAGAATTTAATCCAACTATAAAATTATTTTCTGAAGAAAGTGGAGCTGATCGCACCAAACCCTTCAAATAAAGAGAGGTCCCAAGTTAACGGAGCTGTTCATGAATATCTGCAGCAAAATGACCTATCAATTCGTTGAGATGACTACAAATGCTAGCAAACATTTATCAGTGTATTTTTCGCCCCTTAGCACTGTATGTGACGTTCATGAATAAAGAAATAGTGGAAAAGATTAGAATGTAGGAAGACAATTTATCTATTTATTTTGGAATCGCTGAATGTCACAAACAGAGGTGTGAGGTAACAGTTATCAGTCTTCACGTCAGGTACAGAAATACACTGCCAACACAACTTCATAAATGGAGCTGGTACTTGCTATAATATACGATTAACTATGACCTCACATCAGATGAATTATTTTCTATTTTTGTTTTTAACGTAATTCAATATTTTTAGTTCTATTAGTATACAACTTATCTTCGTGACTAGTTTGATAATTTATTATTGGCAAACTATTGGCTTTTTCTAGTACACATAGGAAGCATAGCTGAATCGGCCAAAAATTAATACTATTCGTTTCATTTAGCTCTGTGATATGAAATATGAGTACTACTATTACGAGATACTAAGGCAAACACCTCGGCAAACCTGCATTGAAAAATTTGATTAGGAATAGTCGTTAAAAGCTATCAAAGGAATTCCGACATTTCAGTAACTTAAGAGGCAATAACTAGCAGCAGAAATAGGACGAAATGTTTGCTATTGAAAATCAAACCTGTATATACATTTCTGAGCTCGAAACCCTTTTTAGGAATAATTCATACAACATCATGCTATGCAATCCTATAAATTGAAATTATCTATTATGAACAAAATTTATCAACAAGGTTTTTTCGTTTATTTACACTGTTCAAGTCCTACTATATTGTTCTCTAAAAGTGCACGTATGTATCCTTTTATTCCCAAATGCTGTGGTTACAATGATCCTATTACCTCTCTACACCTACCCTGTTTTAACCCAGTCTACCTTTGCTTGCATTAGAGATAACTTAGAATGTATCTAATTAGACTTAAGTTACTTTTTGATGAGACATGGATATAAAGTTAAAGACATGTGGTAGATATTTACAGAAAGCTTCTAGTAGCTTACACTGCATGTCCTATAGTTTAACTGCTTTGCATTTTATCCAGGGTATGGAATTATCTTGGAACATTCTGAAGAATAGAAAGATTATAGTTACGTCTGCTTCCAGGGTCAATGAAAATTTTTATTATGATAATATTGGCAAATCACTAAAACCACAAGCTACATAATAATTTGATGACGTTTAAATAAATATGACTTGTTCGGTTTTTCATAATAGTAGATGAAATAGCTCTCTTGCTTACTGTTTGAAACTTTGAGGACCAATTTCATAAACAACTTTGTCTCTCAAAAAAAAAACGTTTTCACTCTGTTTTGGATTGCAGTGAAGCCCACTATTGGTTTGCATACATGATTTCGTTTCCCTTTATTTGATTACCGCAGTGTACCCCAACGCACATGCTTGTAGTTACATGCTGAGATTGATTCAGAGTGTAATTTTCTAATGTCCGTGTACAGTGGGATTTTTGGATTTATGTACATAATCTTTACAATCTTTAGAAGTAACTGGTACTTCTCAAAATCACTATTGGAACCTCTACAATGTATTACAATAGCACCTAAAAAAAAGCGTGTATAGACTGTAACGTAACCAAACCCACTGTACATAAATTGATACAAACTCAATCAAATACCATGTTACGTTATTTTCGTTAATAAGACGTCCTTTATTAAGTTTTATTTTGTTTTCTGTACTTTTGAACTAATTCATAAGCTATTTGGGACTGTATCTGAGTAAGCATGCGAATGTGTATATGCCAACATACCATACATCTTTTCTCCTCTATACCTCAATTCCTTTATAGTGGATGAGTTAGACGCTTCAAAAATCCATGCACAAAAAGTCGTGTGAACGAAAATCAGCTTTTAATGTAACGATGCCATGACAATCCAATACGCGGACAATTTTTTGTGCAACTTTCATCGATCATCAAACTAACTTCTCAATAGATCCAATAACGATCATATATGGCAGCCAACCATCTTTTTACTTGCTTTTTACTTTCATAAAGTGTTTGAATTTATAGATTCTGTTCACACTTATGCAAATAATTATATGCCTGGCATTATTAGCTATTCATTAGAGAATATTAAATTTTCATTTAAAATAGTAGACATTATTTTTACTACTTATTCCATAAGATTTGTGTGACTGTGAGCAGAACAAGCTGGTATTTTGAGACAAGATGTTTTTTCTTATAGAAAGGTTTCTCTTTGTCAACTGATAATTCCAACAGCATCGTCAACATATCGCTTCCAAAAAATTTGCCTGTTTCGTTTATATCCACTTCAGCATCAGTTGAATCGACTGTTTCAGCTGGATTCTAGATCAATAGGTATGAGAGAATATTGGGACTAGTAAGCCAATAAAATATTTTTTGAAATATTATTTAAGGGAGCTTAGGATTTCTGGTTTAGCTATCCAAGACGAAAAGCTATTATAATATATGTATATAGGATGATTGGAAATATATTAAAAATATTTCTATTGCTGAAAATATATTTAAAAATAGAACGTATTGTGTCGAATACTGAAATTCGGTATTCGAATCCTGAATTCTGCATTTTTAATTGTATTTGAACACTCAAGATTAGAATTGAAAGTGAAAGGAGTACTCGAATACCTGGTTCTATTGAAATATAAATAGTTTTTGAATATTCCATCTAAAAGGACAATATGGTGCACTTAAATCTTGATTTTTATCTATGTACCACGTAAGTTATACCCAAAAATGTATAGAATTATATAAATACATGACTATATTAAATAAAATTTAAAATAAAATTTTGATACACAGTGTCGCAGTGGGATTAGATAAATCGACATAGGATTTCAACACAGGGTTCGAATATCGGCATTTAAGTACAAAGTGGGTATTCGAATATTGGGATCAGAAATGGTATTAAGAATCAAGAATACCGAGTATTGATCAAAAAAGTATTCTGTCGAATACCAAACACCAAACAAGAGTTTATTCGAATTTTATACCAGCCAAATGTATTCGAAATAGGATTTTAAAATACCAAGTATTCGAATACTACTAAGGTTTGCAATCAGGCCACAAAATACCTGCAAGGATTTCCAACTATCTGTGTCTCAAAGTACCACATAGCAATTTGCTTAAGTTTGTTTTGGACTGTCCATAACTAAATCGATTCAATCCAGGCGATGAATCCGACTCTATGGGCAATCCGCGCATCGGCAAGACCCTTACCACTCCTCCAGCCAAAGAAAAGAAGAAACCGTTTTTCAAGAAGCAAGAGACCACAGCGCCGTACGACGTGGTTCCGTCCATGCGGCCAGTCGTACTTGTTGGTCCGTCCCTCAAAGGGTACGAGGTCACGGACATGATGCAGAAGGCGCTGTTCGATTTCCTCAAGCATAGGTTCGAGCGGAAGTAAGAATATTATTTTATTATTCAAGACATGGTATAATGCAAGAGCGGAGTTAAGCTCATTATCTTCCATCGGGTGGCCTTGGAAAGTTGACCCTGAAATAACCTTGAAGGCGAAGCTCAAGGTCAAATCCAAGGTCGTCATTCAACTCCTTATTCAAAGTTAGCAAACATCTGACCGTGACCTTTTTCAATAATACCTAACCTAGAAAAAGACAGAGCCGTCCCGCTACTTTTGTTAGTCTATATATATATAGTTTTATATAGTTTTTAGTTTTTAGAGGCATTTTCATGGTTCTTGGTGACGATTGTTTGTGTGAACCCACAGAGATACGTTTTTTGGTTTTGTCACACAGTCATGGAAATTTTCTCGTCATCGAATGAGTCTACCACTTTTATGCTTGTCACTATCAGTATTGTTGGCAGGAAGGGGACCTATACTACGTTAAAGGATTTCACGGATGAAGATAGCGAGAGGTTTCTAGTAAAACTCCACTGGAAAAATACACATTGGAAGGGAAGTTACATTTTATACGTGACAAGATTTGACACTTACTTGGACTACTAAACAGTAGACTAATAAACTATAACATTTCAAATCCACTTTCAACAAGTATAACAGTTTGCTTATCATGGGCGTGTGATTTGATGTTACCCATTATAATCTTCAATATCAGTAGCATCTGAAGATATATCAACAACAATGCCGACAGCACTGGTTGTATTTATTCAGAGAGTGAGTGAAGATAACGGTCTTCTTCTAACCAGCTGATGTATGTGTGTGCAGGAACGAGTAGCGTCTGCGTTGCGGATCGGCTTGTAGCATGCAATTTCCCTTACCGAAGACAATATATGCACATTGGTACCATTGATCAATCTGTTTATCTATTTCGTATAGCATTGTGACGTAACCGTTAAGAACCATGAAAAGAACTATAGTTTCGTATTTTTTTTAATACTATGACCCCTCCCAAAATATCTGGTTAGTCCTAAGTATCATCAGACAAATACTTTGATATGATTTGAAATTTCTGTTCTTTTTTGTTTTGAACTCCGCTACTGGAAGATCTGAATCCTATCAAAATTCCAGTAGTAACTTCTGAGAAGCGAGGGAGAATTTATTTATTAGATGGTTGCCCTGCCAGAACTAGATAGATTCACAGCATCTGTAAATACTTTCCGACATATATATATATATATCAACAAGAGCCAACCTAGACTTTTGTAGTATAACGGCCAGAAGACCTCGAGTTTTCAAGCCCACGTCTAACCACAACCACGCGGCCGGTTATAGCCACTTGCCGTGGTACTTCAAACCCAAAGGATCTACAAAAAAGAGAGGATCGTGCTGAGAAAGGTATATAACAAATAGAAAACTAATGGGCAAAATTCGCAAATAGACGGAAAGTGGATTCGAGCAGAAAGTAGGATAGTAACCCGAGCAATACGTATTTCTGCTTGTTGGCTTCATCAGGCTCGGAATGGTTGCACATATGCACCCACAAAGGTAGGTTACACCCGTATCCGGTTGTATGGGCATATGTGGCTACTTCTGTAGTTGCATATGTGCGTTCATTTCTGGCCTGATAAAGCCGAGAAGCAGAAGTACGTATTGCTCGGGTTACCTGTCCTACTTTCTGGTCGAATCCACTTTCTTTCTTTTTGCGGATTTTGCCCATTATTTTTCTATTTGTTATATACCTTTCTCCGCATGACCCTTTTTTTTGTAGATCCTTTGGCCTTGAAAACTCGAGGTCTTCTGGCTACTACAAAAGTGAAGGTTGGGTGTCGTGTGTTGTTTTGTTCTTCTCTCTCTCTCTCTCTCTATATATATATGTACGTGCCAACGATCATAGGAGATAGGTTAAGCGACAAACAAAGCTGTCATAACATACAAAATGCGTAATATCTCGTATCCAAATTTTTAGGCAGAGAATGGGGAAATCGCGGTAAATTGACTGGGTTCTGGTTACGCACAGATTGCTGCATCTCTTTAAATATCCGGAAATAAGAATGAATTCAAACAATAAGATTGTATCTTGAAAATATTAGACATACAAAGATCTAAAGATCTATTAAAGAAACTGGTAACCTGAAATCGACATTTCTCTAAAATTATTAGGAACCAAGACTGAAGGTCAAATTTTGCTGAATGTTCAACCACGTCCAGCGTTATCCGAGATCACAAGATCAGAAACATAGGTTGTCGATATTGCGGTATCCCTTAGTTGCTCAAAAATAATATCGGGCATCACGCTAGTAGGAGTAGGTACCCATTTTTTGCGATCCTGGATACACTCAAGGTACCGTGTAGCTTGTGAAATTTAAAAATATGTGGAATATTTTCTGTTTGACTCATCCCATACACCATTGTTTTCTATTATTGCCTTGAAGCATGAAAAGCTCGAAAGTGAGGGTGTTGAAAAAAAAGACCCTTTCTACTAAGACTGAAAACCATCAGGGAATGAAAACGCATATAAAAGTGGCGCTAAGGGAGATGTTGCATTTTTTTAACGTTTACCTTTATCAAAGCCAATGTAGCCGTTATAAAAACAACATAGATATAAAAGTGCCAACAAAAGACCGACATATCGATTAACAAAGTAAAGACAGGCCATGTGACATATCGACGAAAAATTTTAATCATTTGTGCGATCACAAACTACAGGGTGCGTCATTTATTACTTTTTTTCTATTTGAAAAATCAACACGCTTTTTAAGAGGTGAAATCGAATTTTTTTATTGATAAATGAAGGTTGGTTTATGCCATTTATATATTAAAAATAACATCAGTCATGTGACCACCGCGGCTTCGTTTACAGGCCAACATCCGAACATCAAAATTTTCAATGACTTTTCCCAGAATAATCGGGTATATGCCCGCAATTTCAGTCCGAATATTGCGCTTTAAGTCTTGAATTGTCCGAGGATATCCCCATCCCCCCCATCCCCAAAGAAAATAGTCAAGAGGTGTGAAATCGCACGATCTCGGGGGCCAACTGACATCTGAAATTCGTGAAATTATGCGGTCTTGAAATTTCGTGTGCAATAAGGCGATTGTTTGGCGAGATATGTGAGCCGTTGCTCCGTCTTGATGAAACCAAAGATCGTCGGCACCAATACTATTCAATTGTGGTCACAAAAAGTCTGTTAACATGCCGCGATAACGTTGCCCGTTGACGGTAATGGCCTTTCCTTCGACATCTTCAAAGAAGAATGGTCCAACGATGCCACCAGCCCATAATCCTCACCAAACAGTCACTTTTTCAGGATGGAGAGGTTGTATGATATTGGTGTGTATTTTCAGCCCCCTATAATCTGCAGTTTTGCTTATTTACGTACCCATTGAGGTGAAAATGAGCCTCATCAGAAAAGAGGACTTTGGTCGAAAATCCGTCTTCTCTTTCCAGCATCCAATTAACAAAAACACGCCGCTGTTGATGGTCTGCCGGCTTAAATTCTTGTGTTATTTTGTATGGATGGAGGTGCAAATCAATGTGCAAAATCCGGCGTAAAGTGTCTCACTAATTCCCAATTGTTGCGAACGGTGCCTAGTCGAGGTGGTTGGATCTTCTCGCACACTTTCACTCACTGCGGCTATGTTTTCACGAGTACGAGCTGGACCAGCATGTTGGTATGGTCTACGACAGGGCTGTCCAACTTAATGTGGCCCAAGGGCCACTTCAAAAAAAATGCAGTTTGGAGGGCCGCATTATAAAATCTTTCTATACAACATTATTACTGAGTTTGTAAGAATTGCGCATATTCGGTATTTGAGAGTAATTTATACATGTGATGTATACATGATCCGTGAAGCGGGCCGCAAGAAAGGAGTTCGCGGGCCGCATGCGGCCCGCGGCCCGTATGTTGACAGCTCTGGTCTACGACCTTCAGTTTCCTCAAAACGATTAACAATCCAACGAATTCTAGGCTGTGTAGGGCGTCCGACTATAAATAGCATACCTTTGACAGTTCATTTATGCATACCACATGACTTTTGACTTACATGGTAACACATAAACTTATAGGTAAAAAAAAGTAATAGATGGCGCACCCAGTATATCTACATAGTGTTCGTTTTTTTAAGATCCAGGCTGCTGATGATTTATTTTCCACACTTGGATATAATCTGGCACCTGAGGCTTTAATATGTATAATTTTAGATCGACTCTGTGAAAAGTCGTTACCCTTTACTGTGCGCTCTTATACCCAAAGATTGATTTCACTTTCATTTTTTCAAAAAGGTAGATCCGTTGTAAATCGCCATGAGCAGCTATTTTCGAGACATTTTGAATTAAATCCTGACCAGGAAAAAATCCCTTTAAAAGCTGGAGCTGAGGTATCAATCAGTGTCTTAGTTTTCCAAGGCAACCGAATAAATATGATATATTTGAAAACAGCGAAGCCTTGAGACCCAGTCATATTAAATCCGAGATATCGGAACCTGAGACCTAGCATTTCTTTTTATTTTCAGAATAATAATAACTCGCGTGATGGCGGATATTTCACTAGCGAAACGGTCGCTCTTGAACAACCCGTCAAAACGCGCTATCATGGAGAGGTCAACGACGAGGTCTACCTGTCTGTCGGAGGTTCAGGCTGAGATCGAGAGGATCTTCGAGCTAGCCACGACGCTGCAGCTAGTCGTGCTCGACTGTGACACCATCAACCATCCGTCGCAGTTGGCCAAGACGTCATTGGCACCGGTTATTGTCTACCTTAAAATAAGTAGCCCTAAGGTGAGGTTTCATCAGGGCATGGCTTTTATCAAATACGGTTGAACCATTTTACAAAATGCGAAACTGGGCATTTTCAGGGCTCGAAAGCACCTGAATATATTTGTTGACATGTTCCTTTTCAAAATCAAGATGCGTTATTCTAGAACGTTGTTTCCAATGATTTGTCATACTCCTATTACACAGTGAGAAAATTGCGGCTACGATGAATAAAATACTTCTATTGAATTTTTTCATAATCACCTTTGTCAGATGACAGAGAAAAGTGACCAGATTTTGCTTAAATAGTACTACTTATCAGTAATTACTATTTTCGCTGCTTTATTTCTTCAACAAGTTTAGAGTTATACTGCCCTACTAACAAAGGGCGGGGGTATCTCCAAAAATTTAAAAAATTGAGATATTTGCACCTATCGAATAATCATGATTTATGCTACATATTTCCATAGAGAAAACGCCATATTTCACATTTTTAAATGATTTATGAAGGAAAATAGTTTCCCCGTTAATGCCAAAAATTGCATTTACACTTAGTATTTACTCAGTAGATACGGGCTTTTAACTAGGGGAGATCATTAGAGCTCTCCATGCCAGGTTTTCTCTAAGCATTTTGCCGCGAATATCGTCACTTTATTGATTGGTTTAGACTTGTCGGCATGTTTATTATAAATTGAACCCCTCTAAATTTTCCACTAAAATATCAGTTAATTGTTACTTTTTGAGTTTCAGTTATCTTTATATAAATACATGTGTTTTTTGAATAAGTTATGTTCGTAATAATAGATAATGCGATATTACAATATATACATAAAATGATTGTCTTTTGGCGTAGATATAAATTCTTAATTATAGAGTTAGAACCAAGCATAAGCCGAATTTGAATCCTACGCTGTTTTAACTAATTATTCATAACATAATGCGTTGCTTTCTTAGCCCGTATATCGCATAACTAATAGCTATGGCCTAGTTTCGCATACATTTTTCTTCAAAATGATTGCTATGATATTATGCATTATATGACGAATGGTCTTATTTTATTAGTCACGTAAAAGTACAACATAAACAGCAAAAATCTTTAATCGCAGTTTTTTCGAAACTCGTTCAAGTGGAGATACGGGGGTCTTTCTTGACAGGGCAGTATAATTATTATTATTATAAAATACCCATTTAATATTCAAAATATATATTTTTTCAATTTTCCAAATCCTATTTAACCTCAAAGTTAGTAAAAACAGATAAACGACTTTCGACTTTTCTTGCCTGCTATATAAGTTTGATCACTTGTCACGTTGAGAACATATTGGTCTAATTGGCCTCAAAATAAACGTATATAAATACACACGTGAATGGAGTAAATGGCGGGGTATTATTAATTCCTGGAAGAAGGATCAATATTTGTAATTTTTTGACAAACCAATAATGATATCAACTGCTTTGGACCAGCTTTCTTCAAAAAGACAGGCATTTCGTCTCAACAGGCATAGCAAAAAATCTACACAAGAAGCTTTGACCACCGTTATAAAAATGCGGTCAAAAATTGAACGAGTATCGAGCTTTATTGTTCTTAGAGATTAGGATCTTTTTTTTGGAGATATAATTTGTAGTGATGCATAACGACTAGTTTGAACATACAGTATCAAATAATCATCAACATCAATCCTGCCATTATTGTCGATGGCACAATAGTTCTATTTTAAAATTGTTAATAGCTAACCAACCTTTTTTAGCACAGCGATCATACTTGGCACTCTTCGATTGATTTACATCGATGGAATATTTTTTTAAAATGAAATTATGGTATGAGATTAACTAAATGTAGTTTCTCAATAAAAAATTAAAATGCTAAGAATCTCAAAAACCATGTAAACAAAAATACTCCACATAGTTGCTCATGACATGACGTAGTTTCTGAATTCATTGAAAAGATAACTTTGAACCCACTCAGTCTACATGGACCTTTTTGGAGATACATACGGTTTCATAATTACACGTATTTTTGTGATTTAAGTTTTAAAATAATACATTCAAACAACGGAGGCACATATTATATTCAGTGGTTAGCCAGCGGACATATTTTGTTTTACATTTATACTGGAGGCTGACTGTAGTTTCATTTGATTACAGGTATTACAACGGCTAATAAAATCAAGAGGTAAAAGCCAAGCCCGCCACTTAAATGTGCAAATGGTCGCTTCGGAGAAATTAGCTCAATGTCCTCCAGACATGTTCGACGTCATCTTGGACGAGAACCAATTGGAGGATGCATGTGAACATATAGCTGAATATTTAGAGGTAACCACCAATCAGTATTGAGAGTAGGGGAGACCAAGGAGGGTTGTGACAATTTTCACTTTAACAAGCATATCTCAGTAAAAAATGGTCATATGCTTATAATTTTGGTACTGTATATAGCTAGTTCTGTCAGCTGTGTAAAACAGACCCGAAATTGATGAAAGCAATTAGGTTCCCAGAGGAATTTTACGAAAACTAGAACAGTTCTTCATGTCACAACTCTCCTAGTATCGAGGTAAATTGTGACAAAGGTCGAGGTAAGTTGTGACAGCAACATATTTTGCAATTGCAAGGGAACAAACTACTGAAATTGTTGAGTATATTATATTAATAACATGAACATTATTCTTATAATAATTTTAACAGAATATGACAACTCTTTGGGATTATGTGAGTGAAAATAAAAAGTTAGTTCCGCCCACAATCTAGTCCGATAAGCAATTGTGACATACATAGAGGAGCTCTCCTCCAGTGCAAGCTTCATGTGACCATCCCTTGCAATCGATGCACTGGACCCATTTTTCTCTGGACTTGCTGTTTGCAAATGGTTCAAGACAACATAGACAGAAACAGTCGTTTTCTTCTTCTTCCTCTTCATCATCGGTTTGGTTCTTCCTACTATTCATCTTCTTTGCTTTTTTAGAATTATCCTTGTTAAAAATACGTCTTTTAACATTTTTCCTGCTTGCTTCTATAGCAGCAATTTCGTCCTTAATAGGTGTGTCAGTAAGCACAGCAGATCTGATTTTACGTCTATTCCGTTGGTGTCCTTTTCTTGGAGGAGCTTTTGGCAAAGGTCTGAGAGCTTCCGGTGAGAATTCATTGGATATAGTGACGAGCGGGCTACGAGCTGTAGATGTGGAGGCGATATGTTCAGTCTTTGCAGGCTCGTTGACATTTTTGCTGCAAATGAACGAACTGCCGGCAGGTGTTTTTGTCGAATTGATTACAGCGTCTTCATTATCAGGAAGAATTTTATTAGAAGGGGCTTTCGAATATTCTCCACCTCTCTCACCTATATTCTCAGATGTATCTGGAGCTGCAGGTATTTCTTGATTTTCTGATTCTTTTGTCATACTAAAACGTTGGTTTGGCTCTGGACTGGTTGGAATACGATCAGTAACTTGACTAGGTAGGAAGTCGACATCTCCAAAAATATTTGTATTAACAGGCCACGTTCCTGTTGCAGCAAAACCAGCTCTCACATTTTTCGCCGTGATCGCCACATCAAATGCTGTTTTTGTAATTGATGGAATGTCATAGATAGACATAACTTTGCCAGCATTTGTGTGCACCCAATTATCACAAGCTGTATTTACAGCCTTCTTCAGAGGACCAAAAATAGCACGATCCATCGGTTGGAGCTTGTGAGTGCAGTGAGGAGGAAACGTAAGCAAAATCACACCATGTTCCCTACAAAACTCAATGTTTTTCAAAGCCATATGCGACGAGTGGTTATCTAAAAGTAGCAACACTTTCTTCTCCTTTGATGGTCTCGCGTAGTTGATGAAATGATTAAGGAACAAGTAAAAGTCGTCCTCGTGCATCCACCCAGATCCATTAGCTGTTCCTACTGAACCAGTTGGGCCATCTAGAATGAAGTGATCTTGGAATCTTTTACGTGGAAATATGAAGAAAGGAGGTATGTAGTTACCAACAGCATTTCCGGCCAAGGCTAGCGTCACTAGCGTTCCTCTCTCAGCCGACGTCATTGCGCTGACCTGTTTTTCACCGCGTCGCGCAATGATCCTGTCAGGTTTCTGCACTGTCGTAATTCCAGTTTCGTCAACATTCCAAATATCTTTTGCCTCAAGTGCATACTTGGTCAGGACACCTGTGTAATTCTTAAAAAAGGCCGCCACGTTAGTTTTATTGAAGCTCGTAGCGCGAGCTATACTTGTGGGTTGAGGCAATCTCAAGGATAAAATTGGATGGCGCTCCATAAATAGCTTCAGCCATACTTCACCTGCCATTTTATTTTCCTCCCACGATGTCGGAAATTTCTTATCATGCTTTTTTGCTAACATATAGGCTAATCTTCTTGTCTCTTTTGTTGTTAATCCGTAATTAGATGCCGCACAAGTCAACAAATATTCGCATAGTACGTTTTCTTCGTCTTTCAAAAAAACTGTCTGACTGACATACCCGACCGATGGAGGCTTGTCTGTCAAGTTGGCCTGGTATGCTTTTTTCTTTTTAATATATCTCTGTAAAGACATATAGTTTATATTGTAAGCAGATGCAGCACTCCTGAGGCTTTGTACCCTAAACGTCACCTCTTCAAAGGCTAGTTCATATATTTCGGCACTGGACACGCCTCTATCAGTTTTCCTCACATATTTATTGGGTATCTAAAAAAATGGCGATTCAGTATGCAGTCACACACACACACACTAACGACAAAAAAAAAAAGAAAATACCTAGAAGAGTTGTGACACGCTGTCACAATTCTCCTAGGTACAAAATAACGTGCTCCTATCGGAATTAATGCTCATAACCTAAAACCACGTGGCAAACCCAAAGAAACAGTACCATGGTTTGAGACTTGAAAGACCAAATAACAGTAGAAAAAATTGCACAGCAAAATTAACGTAACTCGTATCGCATAATAGGATATCAAAGTATCGGTCAAAAACTTACTTTTGGTATTTTTCTAGACGAGAATGCTGTTCAGACGCAACCGTTCCTTCTAGACCAGGGACACAAACTACAGCTCATGCTTTGCCTTTCAAGCAATAAATACGCGTTGTTCCCAATTTGCTAGCGATCATAGGTTATGAGAAATCTACTCTGTCACAACTCCCCTCTGTCACAACCCACCTCGGTCTCCCCTATTATACACTTTTATACAGGGATCTCGGCTGCTGTTATACCTACAGCAAAGGTTAAGTGCGGAAAGTTTTAGAGGAGAGACTTAGGCCCGTATCGTCAGTCGTCCCTACAATTGTAGGGCGCGTTTATGGCCTCCTTTCTCTCCTTCAAAAATTTCTAGATTACACTTGTCAAGTGTCAGCGTCAGCGCTCTCCTATTGTGAAGATATGTTTTCTTTTTAAATTGTAGGAAATTTCAGGCTGATAAAACATGATATAACTCAGAAGCAAGCACAATTTGATGCAAATAGATGTTTGTGACATAACCTCAAAATATAGTTCTGACACGGAGAATCAGAAAACTATGACAATCAAGGAGGCCATAAACGCGCCCTACAATTGTAGGGATGACTGACGATACGGGCCTTAGTGCTTTCGATAGCCGACATCAGATTTACGATCGGTCACTTTTTTTTGAAAATATGAGCGAAAAACCGATAATGGCGGAATTCGTTTTTTGCTAGTAAATTCAAAATGGTTAATTTGACAGCTGTCAAAATGTGACATTATTCTAACATTTTTATAAGAAAAAAAATATTCTACAAACTTGTAATATAACGTAAAATCTAATTATGTAAGTGGGTATTAATTTACAGATTTGCAAAATTACGTCCATTTGCATCAAGACATTTTTGACAATTGGTGACTGTTTTAACAATACCTATTGCTTATTAAAACGCAGTTTTGATACTTTAAATTATTTAACGTCTAAGTCAGAGCCTCCTTAGATGGAAAAAATGCGTCACTTATTAATTTTATTTTCTGACAAATAAATTATGGACTCCTTAGAAAAAATTAATACATAACATTACGTGTGATGATACTTCGGTGATACTCCAATCTTTTATGCATTTGTGAGACATCACTGGACTGGAAATTTGTACTCCTTTCAAAAATCAAAAAGTCCAAAATGACAGCCGTCAGAAAAATGAAAGTTGATGCAGGTTGCGAGAAAAGAAAAGACGATTGAGACATGTCATACATGCCATCTTAATTAAAAAAATGTCCGATTAATGGCACACTCTGACAGCTGTGAAATTGACCGTTTCGGATTTACTGGCAAAAAACAAAATTCGGCATTTTCGGTATTTCGCCGGTATTTCCAAAACCAATTGACCTATTGTAAATCTGCAGCCGGCTGTCGAATGCACTAAGTCCCCCATTTAACCTTTGCTGTAGGTATAACAGGAGCCGAGATCTCTGTATAGAGAAACAAATCTGGAACACACTGTAGCATGTGTTCTCTGTTCTACACATGAAATGATTAAAAATAAAAGGTTTATAAGATTATTCGAAACGATTTGGCTAGAATGTTCGAGCATCCAAAACAAATGAATTAACAGATCGATCGTCTGTTAGCGGCTTTGCTGTCTTTCCACCGATATTCAGAAATATTATTAGCATTAAATATTTTGTCTCCACAGGGTATCACGATGAAAACCACTGATTACTACAAAAATATACGAAAACGAGGCTTAGGCACATTCCAGTTGTGTTCCACGATTTAAAGCATACTCACTGACCCAATACCATTTTTTTCTGTTCTGAACCACTTCCTAGCAAATAGTAGTGAACAATGAAAAGTTCTTATGATCATATTTTTCTTAAGACAATAAATAGGTTTAATGGTTTTAAAATCTTCTATTTGTGAACTATTTAGGCTTACTGGAGAGCTACTCATCCGGAAACGACGATAGCGAACGTCCCTCGGCCCATTGGCGGTTCGCCGCAGGCTTCGCCCAGTGGGGACCAAGGTCGGCCCACTTTACCAGGTATATACTCAATATTCTGCCTTACTAATAGTAACAGCAACGATAATTTGTAGGGAACACCTTCCCTGGAAAGCTTTGTGTAGGGAAAATCTAAGATAATAAAGGAATGTTCAAAAAATTAGTCTCATGTCAGATAAAAGCTAATGTTGCACCTGACCAAACATCGTTGCATTGGATAACAGTATTTCCTCTTCCAAATGAACCGACAAACCACTATGTGGCACCTAGGGCGACTTTAAAGGTTCTGCCATATCATTAGTAATATTACGATTAACGAATGTTTGTGAAGATTTCGTTCCGCCAAGGTGACACTATTGTTGAATTATCTATTACATAGACAGTCATCAAAAAAAAAAAAGTTTATCGAAGATATCCGTGATCTTTTCAATATACTCGCAATGATTGTGGTTCACCGTTGAAGAAGTAAATACATATTTCCATTGTCAATTATTTTTGTACAACAGTTCTGTAATTAATCGGCAAGCAGTGCTGTGGGTCGGCGTGCCAGTAGATGTCTTAGATTATTAAATAATAGTGACTAGCAGCACGTAAATGATTAACGATAAATAATCAATCATATATTATATGTACCTAAATATGAAGCGATTACATGGTGCTAGTGATCAGCATCTAATGATTGGAAACATCTACTGGCTCACCAACTGCTGCCGCGAAAATCAGTCATTACAACATCTTGGTATTGCCCTTCTGTAGAACTAGGACTAAGTGGTATTGCTATTTGGATAAAATTTATATTTCAGCATTGTTCACCAATATTTATTAAGTAATTATTGTTTTCAATATACAACTTAACATGTACTAACAAAGTAACAATTCAGTTCATATATCAATAATACAGTAGTTTGTCTCAGCTGATTAAGTTAATACAGGGATAAATCAGTCGCATAACAACCATAACTATTTGCTATGAACCATCATTAGTGCTAAAATGTGCTAAGGTACGAAATGTACAATGTATTTACTAGTTTCTTGTTCTAGTCGAATATAGATGCCCAAAATGAAAAATTCAGAAGTCTAAATTGCATTTTAACAGTTAAAATTGGTTGCATTGGCTTTTTGACATTGAGGCGGCTCCTATTTAGAAAAAAGTGTTTGAAATTCATTAAAAACTTCGAAATTATCGCCTAAGGAATTGGCTAAAGCAGAAATTTGATTTGTTTATTTATTATTGTCCCTCGAGAAAAAACTGTAGATAGCCGTATTGGTGTTCAAGATCTATGTACACAAGTGTCTGTGGTTATTTCCAGATATTCCTGTCATCCTCCATCAAATATCATTCAAAGTAAAATCTTAATTAGAGAACAGCAAATCAGAAGGAAATATGTTCCCTGTATTAACTTTAATGTACATATTTCTTCATGTAACCTTGTTTGGAAATCTCTTTTGCAGCTCACCATGCTCACGATGTGTATGGATATCCTCCACATGATTCTCGAGGTAGTCATGCAGGTGTTAGATACATAGGATTGCAAAGTTGGGAATCAGTAGACTCTTTAGAATCACTGTCGTTTCTGTGATTACACACAAGCCTCTGCATGATTGTCTTGATAAATTTATAGATGCATTTAGATCTAGCTATCTTCATTATATCTCATGTACTCTTAGCTGTATCAGGGGTGTAGCTGAATATGGTATTCTTACGAGCAAGTAGTTATGTCCTGAAGACCTCCGAATTAATAGTGATAGATTTCACACTAAAATTTATAAAATCTCATTAGTACTCTAGCAAATCAAAACAGTCAGTAACAATTAAAAGCAGTGCAATACAGGAAAGCAAAATTGATAAGAGATTATCCTAGTAACGAAATGATTCACCGACGCTCATTTCATCAAATTATCGACATTGATATCAAATAGGTCTTCGTAGCTAATACTATATATAACATTACGTTTTGTCACCGCAGATGTCGCAAAAGGTAAACTTCTCGCTACCCCTCTGTTATTTGCTCCGATATGTTCCTTTTATCTACAGTGCGCTTATGTATTGCATTCTACCAGGCTACGGGTATATATAGTGAATTCACCGTAAAAGATAACACTTAAAACATCAAAAAGCCAAAACCAGTTTTCTTAGTTTTGTCGGGTATTGCACAGAACCTGAATTATTGCTTTAACAACGCTCTGTTTTCCCTCCCTTGTGTTATACAGGGTTCAATGCAGGAATATATTGTTCTAATATTTCGCTTTCCAATTTTGTTTCAAATGTAATCTTTTACGGCACCTAACCAGATCTGCCAGTATTCATGTTATGCATCATTAGTTAATCTCTTTACCATACTAACATACTGTACAACAATTACCACACGGGTCCAAAGAAGTTAATGTGATAAGAATAAAACCTATGCAGTAATAGGGGCTTCTTTTATTCATTTTATCACTTATTTTCAGATTACACCGGGTCAATGACTCCTATACCAGCTGCAAATTAAGTTTATAGATACATAATATCCGAGACATATTCACAAATCACAGGTCTAGTTATTTTTTGCACGGTTTTACATCTAGGTTGTTGTGAATCAAATTGGTCTGCGCTTCAATACTTATTTGTCTTCCCTGTACGTGATCCTCCAGCTGACATCACAAATAACTTAAAGGATTTCCGAAGATGGAGTAAACTCATTGCAATTAGTCAAGTACTGAGAGTGTCTCAGATATTCCACATTATCAAATCATATACATATGACACTTGAGTAATATTCTCTAGGATTAATCAACTGTATGTTATAAAATACTTACCGCTATTTCTATATAGAGATACCGACTCCATCATTTTTCATATAACGGAACTATTTAGCCAGCCAAACATTTGATTCACAAGAACCAAGTAACGATTTGGTTTTTTCTTTTTTCTCGATTTTGGCTCTTCGCTACTACGCATCGCTTGTACTCTCTAACTTGGCACAAATAAAAAATAATCAGAAGCACCTGGTAAGATTTGGCGGGCTGGCTCCACAGATCTTTTTGCTTAACTCTGCTGCACAATTGCTCTGCTCCATGCTACTCACGTCGGGTATTCGTAAGTCGGGCTTTTGAGTTTCAGTGCATTTGTGGTGTCTTATATACGATTGAGTGAGCTTACTAATATTGGATCAACGTATACGCATGCATGTTGCGTTTTATTGCTGGGGACTTATTTGTAAGTACTTACTCCAAAGAATGAATGGAAGGATATCAAAGATCATTTGGTATATTCATAGCTTTTGCTACACGCACATATGAATACAAGTATATGTATACATTTGAAAATCTGTTATACCAAAAATAATGACATGAAATGTTATACACTATGGAATTCAAAAAATGAATACCTAAGTTGTGTCATTAATATAATTTAAGCGGCATCAAATGACTTTAAATATAACTGAAGAGCAATATTTCAGAAGCCATTACAAATATTCTATCGGAGATCTAAAAACACCGTAATCAAGGGCGCTCAGGTTTATGATAGAAGCAAGCATCATCTACATGATAACATTTTCCATACATAACTTGCGACAGTCATTTCCTTTTATAGCTTAGAAGAACGTATCAAACAGTTATACATAAATATTTGCCAGATTGGAACAGCATCATTAATAATAACGTACATTCATTATTTGGTGTTCACAGAATTCACTTTACATATTTCCTATTTCAAGGCTTTAGTAGCTCTTTAGGATCATAGGGTTTGATAGTGGCTGTCAGGTTTTGAATTGATATTCCGAACTTTGTATTGTGATCTGCTTAATGTTGTTCTGTTTTGACTATTTTGGGGTGCTTAACATTATCTACGATTTTCTTTAAGTAGAGTATTTGTGGTGAGATAGTATGACAGTTTAGCGGTAGCTTCTCAGATTCATTTGGTTAGACTATGTCTGAAGGCAGTCGCATTAAAAGCCGTATTCATAGTTGCACCTCAGTGATTTATCAATTTCCGATAATCTTTAGGACATTTGGTCGTTCCTATTTCACTCATCGGTAGGCACAACGACGTATGACATATTTTTCCAAACCTATAACTGAGACTGGTTAAATTTATAGAAAATGAAGGGTAATCTGGAAATTCAGAGGTAGATGGCGCTAGTCAGATTGGGGGCCATGTCTAAGCTGATAAAACACACAAAAATGTCAATTGCTGATCAGCTGTTCACGTCAATAGACGTGATGAAGTATTGTGAAAAATCGTTGTCATCTTGCTATAAAATTTGCCTTTTTGCCATATAATTTTAACTGTTTGACCTCCAACCACACTAGCGCCGCCAAGCGGTAGCAAAATTTGACATCACTGCGGGTCATCTTGTCGGTTCCCGTTCGCTTGTGGATCCAAAGCTCTGAGTCCATCATTAGACTTTACGGCCTTTTCGTATTAGAACCCTCCTTCATCAATGCACCAAATTGATCTATTAAATAAATGACAGATCCATGACCCTACGGGGCTTTGGCGTCCCGGCGTCGGAGGATTCTTATAACTGGTAGTCTAGCCTAACCATAACAGTCATGGAATGTATGACCCAAGGTTTGAATGCTGTTTATATCAGGGTTCCATAACTAGTCTGACCATTCGGCGACCTATCGCAAATTCGTTTAATTCCAGTTGAAAAGTAGGGCCTCCTAACATGATTTTACCTGACATCTTAAACAAGAAGTACTATCAATTGTTAGGATTAATTTACCACGGAGACGCTTAAAGGTTGACACGTCTTGGTAACGTGACTCGGCGTTTTGCCATTTCCAACAGGTATTTGTCCTGTCAAAAAAAACCTACTTTTGAGGAGAAATAATATTAATATTAATAATAATAATAAGAAACTTTATTGATTTTCGTAGTCAAAGAAATCGCGAAATCCTCCACTACTCATAGCATTGCTGGAGCTCCAATACAATAGCTTTCAGCTGGTCGGTACCAGCCGTTGTAACGTTTTTAACTGTCCCAAAATGAGTTTCCTTGAGGTGATTTTTCAACTTCGGGAAGAAAAAAAGTCAAAAGGACTCACGTTAGGCGATTAAGGAGGCTGAGTGGCCACAGGAACATTGCTGTGTGTGAAGGAGCATTATCGTGATGCAACACTCAGTTGTTCTTGATCTGATGAACGGTGGTGTGAGTCAAATTTAACTTTTCCCCGATCATTCTGACTGTCATCAGACGATCTGAACTCACAAGATCCCTGTTTCTGTCGATATTTTCATGGGTTCTTGAAGATAAAAGCCGTCCGCTTGTGGTTCATCTTCTGTCGACTCTGAACCACCGAAAAACCTGGGCTCTTGAAAAAAAAACATATTTCCATAGGCCTGTTTAGCAAGAGTTTTCATTGTACTGAGCCCAAGTCTGAAGCAACACCTGACAGCACACGTTGCTCGAAAGTGATGTCATTGAGTTTTAGAACACAATGGGAAAAAATTTCACAAAAAAACTCTTACTGAGAGCGAAGTACATGTTCTCCTGTCTCTCGTCCAAACCCGATACCTCCAGTGTTTCCGTATCGAACGCTACGTTGCCAGTCTCATCACCTACTTGACAGACCTCCTAGGGTAAACGAATTTTTGGAAAAAGGGTTGAGCAACGAAGGCATTCGCAAAGAAACGTACATGTAGTTATTATGCGTTTAACTTTTTACTACTATCCAGAATATACAACGCCAGGAGCAGTAAATTTTATCTTAAAAAGAGACCTAATCACTTTTGATATCTAACTATAACCATCTATAAGCAATAATAAAGAAATAAAATAAAAATAATTTAAAAAGTACTATCATTGATCCTACTGTATATGAAACAAATAGCGTATAAATTTAAATTTGAACTTGTTCATGTTTAGACACTTAAATTCTTGTGGAGGCTGATAATACATCCTGATCTCATTATATATGAACGATCTTTGGAACATGGCAGACGTATCTGCGGTAGGCTGTCAATAAGCAAGCCTACTTTATCATTCTTCCCTATTATCGAACATTCATACAAACTATATTTGAATCTTAAAATTAATTGGGATAGATATAGCGCCAGGACTGGGTTCTAGGCTCTACAGGTCTCAGCAGCGTAATAACTCGTGGTGACTGATGATGGACTCACAGGGCTTTGGGCCTAAAAATAGTAGGTGATACTGCCACTTAAAATTAGTTTACCTCAGGTAGTATGCCCGTCTCCTACGTCGGTAATATAGTAGCCTACGAGTATATGCTACAACGTGAAGTTTCGTTCAATGGACGTAGAAGTGTCGCCAACCATATAGGCGATTCGTTAACCAGGAGAACACCAAGTAGTCGGGGTTGTTTCATCATCACCGCGGTATAGGTCTAGTGTTGTAGACAGATAACCCAGTATTGAAGTGGCCACTCCTATTGTCTGCTAAAAAACTGGATAGGTGGCACTGCTACTTAGTGTTCCCCTCATTAATAAGTCGCCTGTCGATTATGTGGTTGACGAAACTTCTCCATTTATCAAAACTGATGTTAGTGTTGTCAGGTAGCGATGAGTTCCTGCATCACAAATGTAGGGGTTGGGTGCACCGCTGTGACGAATAACTTATAGATGGCAGTCACTTACTCACGGAATATATCCGGGGCTCTCGGTAGACCATATCTGCTTGTTTGTTTTCCGATCTCTGTCTCCAAGGCCTCCGCTAATAAGCATGAAATAACATTGCACACAGTTGATCATGATCACAGAGACGGAGTGCAAACAGGAGGATCTTCTACTCAGCCTATTTACGACCTGTACGCAGAATCTGATGTATGGGGTACATGATCCTTTCGATCTTCATACATATAATTTCTTAATTTTTTTTTATGAGGATCGATTATGAATACAATTATAAAAGCCCTTACCACAAACCCATAGTTATACCAAATCCTTCCATTAGCTACTTTCCACACTGGGCACGCGACCCGCCCTCGCGGCCGATTGGAGCGGGACAGAGAGTACGACGAATATACGGAACGTGAGGAGTACCGCGAGCGCCGAGATGCAGGCGCTGATTTCCAGAGAGGCTCTTCACGAAGGCCCCTTAACGCCATATAGTGGAGGCTAACCGCGGAACACCCCATCGAAGAGGAACTGCCCCAAACCGATCAGCTCTCTCCCAAGGAGTACTACCGGCCGCAGATCCCTAGGGAGTACCGGGACGAACGAGAACGCACCCCCCACCATTTGCTCACCGCCAGCGAACGTAGACGATTGGAAGAGGAGCGCAGGTACTTAGACGAACAACGCAGGTATCCTAGAGAAGACCGAAGGTACCATTCTATGGACCAAGCCAGGTATCACGATGGTGGTGCAGTTAGGTCCAGGAGATACGAGGAAGAGAGAGGTATGTCGGTATTTGCACCGTTGGCCAAGAGTAAGTTAGAGGGGAGAAACTATAGAAAAGAGCTGATGGAGAGGTTCTCTGATATGAGCCTCGAGGAAGATAGGGAGTTTTCAAATCAACAAAGATACTATGAATGAGGTAGATGTCAATAATTTTTAGGTAGTTTCCAGATATGGAATTTAAAGAAAACGATATTCCATTATAATGAACTTTTGTCGGATAGCATACTGTACTAAAATTTTTACCATTCATCACAATCAACAAAGCCTTATAAGTTATAGTATAACATTTGGTTATATGAATGTTTATTTTTTATGCATATCTTCTGTCCAAATCAAATCATCTATAAAGTTCTGAGTCATGTAATCTAAACTGGTGTAAAATAATCAGTTGCTTCAAGCATTCCAATCATCTTCTAAGACATCTATAACTAAAACATCTCTGGAACCTTTCTTTTTAGGTCTTTTTTAATTGACCATATCTGGAAACCAGCATATCATGTGCACGTGCGTAAATTATACTGTGTTACATTGTTAACTTTCATGATAAGAAACTAAAAATATTTGCAATACGATAACCATGGATCAATTCTAGATTATTGTAACCATTCTAGGATTTATTCGTTAAAATATCCAGTTTCTTAGCGTAACAAAGCAATAGACAATGTGTAAATGTCCTTGTTCTTTATATCATGTGAATTCGTATGAGTTATAATAGTAATATTAGTATTAAATAATAAATAAAAGCCTTTTTGTCATACCACACGTGCACTAGTATAAGAATTTTGGCCTAAATAATTTTAGTATATTACGTAATATGATTTGTCAGATATTGTATCACTTCCATCCTTTTTTGTTTAAATGGATACGAATACAGGGTACAACGTCTATGTTTCTAGAAGTTTTAAAATTGACTCACTAAAAGGTACTGTAGAAAATTATTTTCGGACCAGCTGAATCAACTGTTATCTTCAGGACATCCTTTTTTGTTTTACTTGGCGCAAAAATGAACTTGGTTTAATTCAACTTCTCGAGTTCCATTTTTTAAGTATCCAAACATATATACATAATTAGTTCAAACAACAATACCTCCTAGATGACTCTTTTGCAGTGAAACTGAATAATATTGTTTGCTTGTAGATACAGCTTGTGACAAAGGTCTTTTTACAAGTGGTACAATATTTGTATATAAATGGAATGAAAAGTTCTATCAGCATTACCTGTTGGAGTGTACATGGCGAAAATAATTTGGTAACAATACAACAATTTCATAAATATATAGCTCCTCCATGTTGACATCCGTTAATGGTACCATAAATTCGTTCATTATTAGATTTTGTATAACAAAAAAATAATTTCCTTGATTTCTGTGTTCAATAACTTTTGAATATGATATGATACTTCAAAAGGTTCTGCGTGATACTAAAAATGCACTTGTTACCCAGTCTTTTCGCCAAATGACGTTAAGCCTCTCTGAATAAAAGCAACATCATTGTAGTATCTTTTAGGATGTCTTCGATGGGATGATCCGCGAAATATGTGATCCTTTATTACCATAAAAAAAAAACTTGACCAGTTTGGTGCCATATTTGAGTAATAGCTCAATTTTTAATCAATCTAACAAAAAGTAGATAAAATATATTCAAGCTTTAAACTGTAGCTGTATCTAGGTATTTTTAAATTAATTTTTATTCCGTGGTCTTTCCTTGAAACACGTTAAAAATTATCCCGTTTCGAAGCCTCCGCTTAGGAGTTTACCTGATCAGTAATATGCAAGATTCTTTTTCATCTGCATATTATAAAACTATTTATTAGTCTTAGTAGTTACAATTTGTGACATTTGATGCTTATGCTAAATATATAATCATCAAAAGAAATATTTTTTCCAGCTGAAAAGTTGTCACCTTCTTTATCGTTCCAGTATACTTGACGGATTTCAATATAAGATTGCGGAATAAAGAAAGGGTCCTTTGTAAAATAACCAAAAAATAACGTGAATCTATGTATTTTATATATTAATGTATAATAACTTGAAAGAACTGAGATATTATACTTTAAAGAAAAGTGTACTCTATATTGGAGAGGTATTTTATATTTTGCTTCATTTATTATAGTTTTCATATTAAACCAGGCAAACTAGATACATCTTCCACACAATATGGAGGGTGAACTGATGCTTTCGGTTCCCATATTTATCGTAGTTAGGAAAAGTACCTATCATATTTACATGAACCCGTATTAACTACTTCTTCATTTAAAACTGACAAAATAGAATATGACTCAAATTACACTAGTAGAAATCTTGTTGTCTTGGCTAAAGTAAGTAGAGCAATACTTCCGTAAAAATGTTCAAAACTTATTGTGTCAGGGGTATTATGCAATATTGAATTAATATCTCTCAAACGTATCTGTGGAGAATATAACAAAAGTCAAGAAGTAGACTATTGATATTTATATTATCTATTCCTTTCCACTAGTCACAGCCAAATGTAGCTCTTATGGGATGTTTGTTTAAAAGTAATCTATTTTGCCTGGTCTATTACCTATTCGTGATATTAAAATAATGTCAAGACATTTGACTGATTATAGTTGCAGAAAGATTAGATAAAATTTGCACAGCTGTTAGTATTTACGAAAAAACATAGTTGATTGCGTACTAAATAAAATATACTTTTCAATTGTAGACATAAATGAGGAATGAAGAATTTGAGAATGTATACTTGGGATTAGTTTTGTCCTTTATATGTGTTATTCATAAGCTATTATGTACAGAAGGGTAGTGTTCGATCGAAAGAATTGTTTCAGAATTGGCAATTCACTGCCAGTGTAAAAAATTAAGAAGAGGGTAGGTATTACATTTATTTTAGCTGTACCCACTCAAAAGGCTTTTATCTGAGATACTCATAGTCTAGCCTTTTATTCTGAGCGTTTGATTTGGTATTTTCTCTATCGTAGTTTCTATTTGCAGATTTATATAGTGATGGGCGTATACGCGTATACAATTGTAATCGCACGAGTTGATATTCATGTATAAAATGTAAACAATGTAGACAATGTATAAAATAATAAATAATAGTTTAGATAGGTCGCTTGTATATATGCAAGCATATAGGTATAATTAGTGCCATTTTTAAATAGAAGTAAATTACATTCTGGAAACAAATTCATATTCGAGTGATTTCATTTAGCGTCTTCAGCGTTGTCAAGTCAATATCTAGTATTATTATATCGTAAGGAGTAGTACACATAACTTCTTGCTACTTCTGCTTACTATACCTTCTGATTTGATTCATGCTTATATTAGGCAATTAGAAATTAATGAAATAGCGCGTCGATAGCCGCATATTAAGATATAAGAGATGTTAACTTATCCGTGCGATCTTAAGCGACATGTTTAGACAAGTTTTTTTAAAAGGTACAGTATCTCGATGGGATATTTTCTTCCATCCTTGAGTAAAATGTACCACAGTTCATGAATTTTTTTATTTTTATTTATTTACTGAAGTTTTGACGTTTGCTTTCAAAACCAACCTCACTTATCGCTATTGTATTCTTCATCATTGTGTACCTATTGTTTACATTTTAGACTCGTTGTATGCATTGTCTACGCATTGTCTATATCGCAACATAGACAATCAACGTATACGTGTAAGCGCCCATCACTTGACTTATACAAAATCAGTGACAATCACTTAGAATTTTTACTGGTTAGGGTTTTAGAATATAATTAGTAATCTAACGTTTTCATTAAGTAATCACTATTTATTGTACAGGGTGGCTCAAAATGAACGTTATGTTTTTGAATTACATACTTATAACCCGTTCCATTTTCAAAATTTTCTTTTTTATTATTAAGATTTATTAGCGAGGGTTTGATCTGAAGCGATATACCACGGAGCAACGGGTCAAAATAGTTATATTTTATTTTTAAAGTCCGAGGTCTGTTGTCCCAGCGTGCAAATTGTTAACACTTCTGTCTAGTGCTTACCAAGAATAAGCTATCTTATTCCGAATTTTCGGCAACAAAAAGCAATTACTGGATTATCGTTGTGATGGGAGACGATGAACAACCTTGACAGGTGAAACTATCGAACATTTATGTGAGAGTTTAGCCAGTTTCGATTACTTGCTCTCAAAGCCAAACAATCCTGCAACATTTCGTAATGAGAGCTGTGAAAATCTATCCAAACCTAAGCTAACAATGAGATAAAACTACAGCATACACTGCATGGTAGTAGCTAGCAGTCCGTTAAAGGGATTTTCGACGACCATATTGCGGCGGGGAGCTTGTTCAAATTGGTCTGTACATTTACCAGATTTAACCGCGCCACTTTCTATTTAAAAGACACTATTCTTAACGGAATTGCGGTCATAACATCCAAATTCACACAGAAGCCAGCAGCAATTCTATGCATAATACATAAAGAATTTGAACCTCATTTTACATCACCGTGTCACGCTGCATTTTTTTCATGTAGGAACTATAGGACCGAAGTCCCCGATAGCTCATTGAACAACAGAGGACAGTTTTCTTGCCGGTATTGTAGGACACTTGAGTCTACATTTTCCAAAAAGTGTAATCTAGTACTGTACGCTAACAGACGCGAAAGCCAGACTCTGTGCTTCTTCCATGTTGTCTGGAGTTTAGGTTCTCTATTTCATGTAGGTCTTCTGTATCGTGGCCTGCTGAATTTCCAGCAGCTATACCAAGTTGATTCCTATTCAGTGAGTTATGCTGTCTTTTCGACCTGGCTCCAAAATAGGTTTGCAAAATAGAAATCTTGAGGTTGGAGTTAAAATGCAATCGAACGTCACAAGGCCAAAAAGAAAGTTTGCTCTGTGTGCATGTCGTCATGCTATCGAGAATCTTTATTTTCTTCACCAGGACGTGCTACAAGAATACTGAACTACAAAATTTATTACATGCGTGAAAAAGTTACTTAAAACGTTGAAATCGTGCTTCAGGACAAACAATCTCTTAAACGGAGAAAGCGTTGAAAATCGTGAAAACAACCACTTGTGTAGCGGTGAACTATGAGTTTTTAAACACCTCATTAATAAATTTTAACAATGACCACGGATTTTCGAAAGCTTGACGTCATGAATACAGAACAAACTTTCTTTCCGGCTTTCTGATATTCGGTTGCGTTACGGTTGCAAGATTTCTATTTTGCATTTGGCAGCCATCACCATCCTCCTTCTCTGTCTTTGTATCCATCATTTATCAGATTCGCCCCTTATACTGAGTTTTTCACCTCCGAAGCAGATTCTGGGCCATAAATAGGCCTGTTGTCAATTGTACCGTGGTGGCCGAAACATCGTCGTGAGTAAGCAGTATTTCAAGCATGTGTGGTTTCATTTAGCGGCCAGACTATGGAAGAAAGTCATGAAAACCATATGAGTAAGGATGTACTTATTTGCGATACGAATGCTTGTACCAGGTTGGTTGTATCGTTACCATAAGAAATCATTTTATTTGAACAGGTAAATTACTTACTATAATTGATTAAGTTAGGAGACATACTGAAGCATAATTAATTTACTCGAAAGTTGCTTACAGATAGCGAGATACTAATTGCAGGTAAATCAGTTTGCTTATGGCAGGTACAGTGGTCTCATGCTCTAAAAGCTGTACAGTTCAGATTGCAAAGTCAAAAAGATATGTATGGTTAATAATTTTTCCTTAGTCGGAGAAAGGAGCACAACTCATCGTACGAAATTGATCTGTGTGAGAACCAAACACACGTAACTTCCTTGTTAATTCTGAATGCATCTTTCAGGATGCGAGATGTGTCTCGGCGACTTTCTCACTAGATGCGCATGTGAAATTACGCCTATAATATAGAATTAAATGGAGCAAGAATGTCTGTTTGGCGAATTTATCCTAGATCCTTTCGAGTTGAAACTCACATTCTGAATTAACCAAGAATTAACATATACCAGTGCCCTATTAATCGCACACATCCAATAGCAAGCATCGAGTTCAGTGACATACAATGAGTCATGCTTTTTTAGTTTGTAACTTGCCGTTTCTATGTAATGATCTAAGCTAACACTACCTCCATGTGACATAATAGATTCTGAAACTGTATGTGGTACATTTTATTTCAAGCGAACTGCATGGGTACCACAAAATGTGGAATAAAATATATAACTGACCAATTTCACCACACTTGGATATTTGTATAATTGTAGATGTACAACAACCTGAATTATTGCACCTTGCATTTGCGGATCTGTTGTTCAATGTTCATTTGACTGTATAAACAAATTGTAGCGAAGGTTGTGTGCGAGTGCGCGTTACTGACAGATGCCCCTTTTGATTAGATCGACGCTATTGCCATAATTTTGGTCGCAGAATGGATGAATGTGGATAAGCAAAACACACTGAGCATCAAAATTGGTGCCACTTCTATGAAAGATCCTCCTAAGTTCGCTTCACCCAGACGTGGTCAAAGTGTTCTATGAGATTTTAAAACCATAACCTACCTCCTTGCTACTTTGATTGCAGAAATGTACAAAAATTCGCGAGGCTTAATTATTTTTTTGAGTAAAGTGTCCTGACGGCGATAAGCTTAAGAAATTGTTTCATAAAACTCAATTCCCAAAATATGGGGGCGCGAACGACGAATATATGAGATAGGAAAGGTGAAATTCCTCAAAAGAAGGTACCTACGTAAAATATTTCAGGTTAAATTCTATAATGGCCAAACATTAAAGAGAATAAGGGGCAACTAAACATATTCTATCATACATAGATTCTTGAAAATGGTTTGGATTTATTCACATTCCTCCTTGCGATCTGATAGGAACCTCTTTGATCATTTTATTTAACATTTATGCGTATGATGGGACATTTTTGTAAAATCGGTTGAATGTTGAATGCACTTTTATTTGTTGTGCAGGTGTACAAAACACAAACGTACAAAAAATCGCAGCTCTCGAAGAACTTTTAGGATGAGTAACAAAGCATCGTATGCTAGTTCAAGCTTCCTTGTGATATATGCGGCATCATTACGTTTCATGAAATCAGTTCAATGTGGTTACAGAGATATACCTATTGGCGTATGAAAATATAGGGTAAGACTATACTTTAGCGCATATCGCAAATACTTCATTTCTTACTTTAAAATGAAAGATTAGGATGGAACTTTTACGAAAATATAATTTTTTCTTTAAGGAACCCTCTGCTTGCTATTTTATAGAACTTTAAAGTTGCATTGTTCGTTTGGTTTGGCTTGGAATACTATTTTATACGCTGTCTTTTTTGCTTTTTGTACAGCATGATGCTCTAAATTATAAAAATATAACTATAATATAGGAAAAACAATAACCGAAGTACTTTTGTAAAGGGCATCAGACATTCTTCAAAAAAGTGTCTTTAGCTAACGCTATCGTAGGGCACGAGGAGGATTTAGTACAGTAAAACCTGCCGGCCACACCTCCAAATCGCATTTTCATGAGAATCCTGTGCCGATTGCACATTTTTGCGCTAGTATATAAGTAAGAATTTGACAAATCAAATTAAGGTATATTACTATCTACGATTTGGCAACATTGCAACTAGATGGAGAGAGTATGATAGTGATGGTGGTGTAGTGATGGAAATATTTATCTGAAATAAAAGAAATGACTACTTAGCGATGGACTATTTTCATCATTGAAATAATGCAAAATTGTAATATTGCGATGAACAATGTCATAGTAATTTACAGTGTATGTTATATTCATATAATTTTTGTGCAAACAAGGAAAAGCAGCCTATAAAGCAATATTCTATACCACAGTTTTACCACCTAAAATGCAACTTTGAAGTTCTATAAAATAGCAAGCAGACGGTTCCTTAAAGAAAAAATGATACTTCCTAATCTTTCATTTTAAAGTAAGAAATGAAATATTTGCGATACGCGCTAAAGTATAGTCAAGTATCGTTGACATTCAATGACAACACGCTACATGCAGGCATTCAGTGTGGCAAGCCAATATCTGCTGATGAGCTATTCTACCTAGATGGAAAATGTTCAATACTACTGGGCAACTTGAACACACATACTATGCTGTTGGACCTTATTTGTCTCATGTACTCGACAATTTGAATACCTTGCACGTTTCCTAAAAAAATCTGTAAATATTGTCGCTTATGTTACCTACCGTAATTTATATTTTCATGGAGATACTTACTGTGAAAGGATTCCATATGCTGTTAATACTATACGAGTCTATTGAACATTTTAAATAATTATTATACTATTATACATACCATAGTTAAAACTTTGATACATTGTAAATAGCTATTGAACATTAAAAAATCTATACTACCGGCGAACAAACTTTCCTTGTTTTTTTTCGTCATACCACTTCCTTCAATCCTATTCAAGAAGAAACTCTTTTCCAGTCGTTAACGTCGCAGGAAAAGGTATAAAAGAAAAACATATTAGAACAAGAGCCCGCGACGGTCAGACCTTCGTTATTCTATAACAACTGAATGTTTATCTGTGCATGCCCCAGCAGAGACAAGAAGGATAAGAGAATACGAAACTTAGTGGTTACATTGGCAGGTAAAGTATAAAGCCCCTTTTTTTTAATTTTCTGGGAATGATATTAGAAATGACGCATCCACTGCCAGACAGTACAGTTTCAACTACTAAGCTTTAACAGAGTTTGCCAAATCTACAATTCGTTTATAATTTAAAACGGAAACTGCAAACATAAACAGCAATTCGGAAGATTGGACGTGGCAACAACCAAATAACAGCTGGCACAGGTATCACGTATCTTGAAAAGGGACATTATGCCAAATTTTTCTTACGTAATGCTGTTTTTTTTGACATTATGTAGGTTTTTCTACAAGATGTTAGCTTAGCACTTAGTTGAACGTGTTGCCTAAACGTCATGAGGCTTGTTATCAATCTTTGGTTCTGATGTCTTTTTTTTATACTACAACCACCACGAATGCCTAAGGCCTAAACACCCATGGGGTACCGTGGAGCTATAGGGGGATACAGGGGAAAGGGGGAACGCCACACGGAACCTGGCGAGGGAACACGTGTGCATGCAACATGCACACATTCTGGCCCTGCCTACGAGATCCGCCGGGTGGTACCTTTGCGTTCGACAGTCAGAGACCATCTACCACCTACGGACAATCACAACATCCATAGCCAAGAGAAAAATTTCTTTTGAGAGGGGATTCGAACCCACACTGTGCACGGCGACTGATCATGAGATCGAAGAGTCTACTAGTGCGGCCACCGCTGCTTCTGAGATGGCATTACTGGAGGTCTAAGCTGTAAGTGGTATGTGTTGATGATAATTACATTGGGTTCTTATCTCAAATACACTTAATTGAGATTCAAAGCTAGAAATTAGTTGCGCAGCCACTTTTTCTCATCCATTCTAGAAATTACCTGTACAAATTTCAAAAATGAGAGAAATAAGAAGTAATTATATTCACTGTACACTGTCGAATTACAAGCCATATACATGCTACCAGTAATTACAAACAACGCGGATGCGGTGAAGGTTTCCCATAATTCTCCTCAGTTTTTCGTAATTTACAACTTTGAACATAACCTCTCTTCAGAAAGCACAACATAAAAATTACCCGTCGGGCACAGCCAATAGATATGCTTCATTGGCAGCATATTCAGTAATGATTTTCTCACACAGCAAATATCACTGATTTTATACACATGCAGACCAATACACATAATCATCCAGATAAAGACCAGATCAGATCAGAGATAAAAACTACAGACTAGGACCACTCGGCCTCATAAAACATATGCAACCAATAATGCGTGTAGTTTAGTTGAGTGATTCCTCCATAGATGGACGTTCATAACGATCCTAGTGAGCAAACACGGAACGACTGTTTGCGCCTTAAAAACTACCTAGTTTGCAAAATGACATCTTATAGGTTTTTTTGACGTTTTATAGGTTTTTACATGATACCCATGCCGATTTTTTCCGCATTCTTTTCATCAACACAACCTGGCCGAACTGTATTTATTGTAGTTATTTGTTGCTAAGGAAATTAAAAAATTCAATTTGCTGTCAGTTACTTTTGTGACAATCTTCGGATAGTGAGGATTAATTTATTGATTCAGATTATACTTCCAAAATGGTTTATACACTAGCCGAAAGAGTGGAAATGATTCTAATTTATGGTGCCCAAAATCAATGTGCTCGGCAAACTGCCGTCACCTTTAACGCCAGACATCCGGGGAAGATAACTTCGCATAAGAATGTTTTGGACCTTGTTACTAAATCTACTCAAACTGGATCTGTTGCAAATAAAAAACGTGATCATCGGAGAGTTTTGGGTAAGCCGCTCAAGTTGAAGTTTTAGGTCATTTTGGGATAAATGCTAATACGCAAAATTCTTGCTGCGACTGGTACTTTATTAGGCTGTGTACACACAGTTACTAAACTCCGCAAGATTCATTTATTCAGCATGAAAATATTGGAAGAGTTAACCGAAGATGATTTCGATACGCGGGTTGCGTTTTGTGAACAAATGACCGCAGCAGTTAATGATAATACCATTCATGTAAAGAATATCTGATTCGGTGATGAATGCACATATAATCTAAATGGATGTTAAGAAGCATAACTGCAGGTTTTGGGACAATGAAAGTCTCATACTTTTGTAGAAGGGCATACCCAGTTCCTTCCAAATAATTAATGTATGGGCAGGCATTTTAGGAAACAAGGTGATTGAACCATTCTTTATTAATTGAAATTTGAAAGGAGACATTTATAAACCAAGTATATGGGTTCCATCGAAGAGGATGGAACCCCTATACTTGATGAGGCTGACGGCGCTCCTCCTCACTATGTTCTTCCGGTTCAGCAATAGAATGACTTGCTAGATCTCCTGATTTGACGCCATTAGACTTTTTTCTATGGGGCAATTTGAAATCTATTGTGTTTACTCCCCAACCTGAAAGTTTGGATGAACTTCGTCAACGCATCATCGAAAGCTGCACGATATCCCACAACATGTTTTTGAAAATATCCGTCAGGTTTTTGAACATCGTTTGGCCAATGACGGGCAATATTTTGAACACTTAATGAAAAGAAAAGAGATATTTTCGTGTGTTTTTGTTTTCTATCTGAGCAAATTAGGATAAATATTTTTTTAGAAAACGAATCGATTTTAAAAAATCTTTCAAGCAATCTATTATTCGATACCCCTTGTCATTTAACATTTTTAAGGGAATGACCCTGGAGGGCAGAGGTGAAAGGGGGTGAAGTAGTTTTTGGTTAAAAATCCTTTAACGTGTCTCGGCGTTTTTCTTTTAATCAGTAGTTTTCGATAAATCCTTGGTGGGAGGTCTTCAAATGCACACCCTCTATGAAGTAACAAATATGCTCAACTTATTATAAAGTAAAAAAGTTTAATTGGATATTGAAGAATAATTAATGATTTTGGTCCTTGTCATTGGTACCTTCATTACTTTTTTATGAACAAATTAATATATATCCCTTGATAACACTACTAAGACTCGATCCGATTTATTTCACAAACTGCACAAATAAATCAAACAAATAGTACACTAAAAATATATTCTAGTTCAACACAAAGTCTTTTCAGTAGGTGACACACAAGTTTTTCTGTCTGGTTAAGGACTTTTAACGTTATTGCTGCTATTCTGTAATATTGATTCTATTAAAACTATATTAAAATTGACAATTACTTCCTTGCTATAGTTGCGGTAATACTTCTGCATCAATGACAATGTATGTACTCGAAACAACCCACGTTTGCTCAACTCGGACCAACTTTATTGCACAATAGCAACAGCGCTGAACGTCATTGAGCTGCTGGTCATATTTGACAGACCATTCTTTTGACAAAGTGAACTACCTGAAAAGGCTTATAAAACATCAAAAATGACAGTCAACGCAATTAAAGATCACAGAAGAGCAAACTCACTATATGACACGTATTCCCTCGCACATACGGTAGAACCACTAAAATTGTCCTACTACTGGAGCAAGATCTTTTAATAATCCCCCAAGTAACATATACATATAGGTATAAATTTCAGCTTTTATACTCTGACGAAAATTTAGCTCTAGTTTGTTAAAGCTTATCAAAAATCTGGGATTTATACTTCAATGAATCTGAGGTACTATTTTATACACCTGTTATCTGCCAAAGTAAGCACTAGCCAAATTTTATAACTGATGATCTTTCTTACCTGTGTTGGGGACATACACATAGAAACAGTCGTCTCGGCTACTTGCGAATTATTGATACGTGAAGATCAAAAGGTATTTATATGTTGTAGATAAAAGCCCCTGAAGCTATTGCTTAGATTCAAAATATACAGGGTGACTTTGAAGTTGAGTCATTAATTTTCAGATAATGATTGTAGAAGGAAGATAAACCAAAATATGTGTGTAAAAATAAAAAAAAAATAAAAAAAAATTTTTACCTTGTTTTATAAAGTATCCTCCCGACAAGTATTTCAGTGCGGACCTGTATTTGATCGTGAAGTCCCCTGTGAGGTCTTAAGTCACCTGATTCACGAGCCCGTTGTACTACATTACCAAAGGCACGAGGGGTTGGTTGCACTCGATTGGGAAACCGATCCGCATAAACATGTGCCATTTTTTATTTCGTTTGAGCCACGCAACAGATACCACTATTCACTGACACTGACTGTATACAAATGAATGAAATATGTAATTGTGAAAACATCGTTCCAAATTCTTTCGCTTTTTTGTTTCCGATGCGATGAACCGGTAAGGCGGATTATATCCGTTGTTGCCAAACACGAGCACATGATATTATCATTGAGACAGGGCGGTACTCAAACTTCCAAAGGGCTATAACTTTGTTACTTTAATTTTACCAGAAAAATGGTAAAGGAAAAAAACATTTCTTTTAATCAGATCTACTCACTGTTAAAATAAATGACTCAACTTCGAAGTCACCCTGTATACAAAAACAACGGAGTAACTTATAACCTTTTGAATATATAATTTACTCATATTTGTTATACTCGTATTTACGTAAAGTTGGTGGGTTTCACGTCATAAATAACTATACAATTATTCTCATAAGTATTTATTTAACACATTTTCGACTAATTTTAATCATAATGCAACTTCTCTTACATTTTACACATAAAAATAAAATCACTAAAAGTATCACTACAACTGATATGTAATTCTACGATAAAATACTGAATCTCAATACTACGTATTACAAAACATAGAAAATATAACATGAAAGACCCTAATAACATTTGAGTGAAGATTTTAATATCCACAATTCTGGTTATAGAGACCATGGATTTTTATACTGTGACATTTACAAAACAGTTTGTATACATAACAGTTACTCTAATTTGAGCTCTATAAAGGTTTCAATACTTCAATGACTACTGACGAAACTGAATTCTGTAAACGTACAGACGAATAATAATAATTTTAACGCCGATTTTTAAATCAAATGTACTTTTTATAAATTAAGTCATGCTCTCATAGCAATTCCAGTATACTGTGAAGGCGATTCCAGAGCTTCGGTAACGCAACTCACGTATGCACGTAATGAAGCAGTGTTAACGTAAAACTGCCTGGTTTTTTATTTGCCATTTATAATTTGCTGATGTGTTATAATAGAATACGAAAAATAGCTCAATTAATAACTCTGTCTGCACCAATAGCATAAAAGTAGATAAAAGCTTCGTTGGAGAGGAACTCTATTCAAATGTTTGAGTTTCCTGGTCATAAAAAAACAATATTAACCTTCAATACGTGTGACAGTTTATACTATGGCATAAAAATAGCTCTAGGTAACACGCCTATCTAATGGAGTAATAAAATAAAGAAGCAAAATATGACATATCATATGCATATATGCATACCCTGATAAGCAGAATAGCTTATGGTGCCAGTACTTAGAATATCATTTAGTTTTTGGAATGGATTATGGTTATCTCGTTAGTAATATCACTGTTCCTAGGATATATCATACATCTTCCACATGTTGTTAATCAAACGGTAAATTGAAGTAAAAAAACCGCTGCGGACCAAGAACCTAGAGAAATGTGAAGGATGCAGCTTGTTCACAGTTGATGTTTTGTTGAATCCGACAATGAATCTGGATCAATCTTGGTCACACTTGTATCAGTTGTATCGCAAGTAACATCGACAGTATCATCCCTTTCCTCTTCTTCATCAATGATGCTGATGTCTCTAATAGAAGGTCTGTGACTCCTTCGCCAGTCTTCTGGAATCACTGGGAACTTCGTTTTGGTGAGCAATTTGGGACCAAGTATCGTGATGAGTATGGCACTGGTGGGAGCTGTGAGAACGATGGATAGTATGCAGACGGTTAGGATTTTTTCGGCGTATTCGTGTTCAACTGTGCTTGCAGCCACTACACCTAACGTAACTGGCCCCAAAGCAGCCTGGAAAATCGTTTATTACAGGTTAATTCAAAAACCAGTGGCAATATTGATAGAGGTAAAAGGATGGCCAAAAATACGGGTCCTTACCGATATAAGTATAGAGTGTTGAAGTTATGATGTAGAAAACTGTATCCACGGAGCGAATAAAGATAATTTCAGATATATAGATAGTTTTTGTAACCAAATGAAACCACATATGTAGACATTATTCTTTAATGAAGTTCCAGCTATCACGGGTTTCAGGCTTTTAATTTGTAGCACAATCAGCATAACTAATAGATACAAAAAAGTGCCTGGTACAAACTACGCTAGTGGCGGCACACAGTGGTCCATTTTTGTGAAAACTTCGCAAACAATCAAAAAGCAAAGTATCAAAAATGTTCAACGTTTAATATCCTAAGATGCTTTTGACTTTTACAGTTTTGCATATTTGTTCGTCCTTTTAGATTCCGGTTTTTCGTATGTTTATTTGAACTTTGATCAAAGGATCTGAAGAAGCTGAATGCACGTAACAGAAACTGGGAAAATATTGTAAAACGAAGTTCTTGAGCAATATTTTCTTCTATTTCAGGTTTTCGCAAATGATTATCGGTTTCCTCGAAAGTGCTTCAGATAATGCTGATGTAAGTTCAATTCCTACCTGGACTGTGGCTTTAGACATGCAGGCGAACGCCACGAAAAGCTTTTCTTTAAGGTTTAACTTGCAACCTATTCCGCAGACGACGGTGAACAGCATCCTGATGATGATAGCTGTCAGCAAGATTCCAACGCAGATCGACACCACCGGCCCATCTAATTCGTTGATTTTGATAGACGCTCCTGTCAGGCCGAACAGAATAGGCTCAAAGATCATCCAGAAAATTTCGAATGCGGTTGCAGCTGGATTATCTTCTATCTCCCAACCTGAGCCAGGATAGACTTTCATTAATAATATTTTTGGTAGCAACCACTTGAAAAATATTTTCATAATATTGCTTGGATCGATAAAAATAAATCGGGGAGATCTTGTCGGTACAAATTTTAATCAAGTTAATATCAGTAGAATTGGAGAGCGCGGTAGAATGCAATGCTGCATGGTAAATGATTCCAGATTCTGACAGCTGCTGGCATTGTCCAGACTAGTTCGTAAATGCATCCATGTTCAGCAAGCCAAGGATGAAGTTTCGTCATGGAAGACCGCTCATAGGCACAAATTTGGTAAAGAAGTGCATTTTTTGAAAATACACAGAGGCAGTCGGGTTAAAAATGGTGTCAGGTAAGTTCACTCTGCACTTCCTACGCAATGACGCCATCAATTCATAAAGGATTGAGTTCAGCGCAATTTAAATTCTCTTTGAGAAAAAAGTCAGATATATTAAAGGGACAAATTCAGTGAAACAGGCCTATACAATTAGGCTATCAGCATCCTTTCCCTGCCTTGCCGCTGGTTACTGACCATCTGGCAACGTTGCCCATTCCCACATCTTAGCGTCATTGCTGCACTGAGTTGTCGTTCGTTTCATGCATGGTCGGTGTATGTGCTTTTGCGCTGCAGTAGATAGATTAGTCAGCAGAAGGTTCATCGGGCGATGAGCTTAGATACCAGAAATACCCGGATCGAAAACACTTCTCTATCCTCTATCATTGTAAGTTTTGAAGGCAAATATACAGGGAAATCTATGATGTCATCGTCATCGTCATCGTCATCGTCATCGTCATCGTCATCGTCATCGTCATCGTCATCGTCATCGTCATCATCATCATCATGATATATATGAAGCTAATAGGCGCGTAGAATTACCGGGGTTGGGAGCGTAAAAATATATTAAAAAAATTAACCCCCTACAATACCTAACCCCAAACTTCAGTGAATACAAAAAATTATGAAAATGAATAGGTCCCGCTGAAAGTCAAGAACAGGGGGGTTGAGCGACTTTTATTTCTTTCGTTTTTGGCTTCTTCCTCGGCCGCCACCGTTTTCAACCTTGCTTGAGAATATGAAAATTTTATTAAAATCCGAGCGGTACTTTCCATGTCATAAACGGGCCAAGCATTATCGGACAGTCAGACATGCAGATAGACAGACGCACAAACGGACCGACAGACCAACAGAAATGAGTGACATGGTTTCGTGATATGACATCTAAGAAACACAATACCTCATTTTCGAAATCTTTCGCAATTACAATACTTCCTCGCGCAGTGACAAAGGAAGTAAAATTCACAAATAATAATAATAATAATAATAATATGTCTTTATTTTCTAGATAAATTGTAACAAACAAAAAAAAAAAATTGATGAGGGAGGCGGCATTCAACATAGTTGCTCTTCCATGCAACCCCCAAATGCAACTGATTTATTCAGCATCAGAATAAAGGTTCATGTGGAAGGACATCCATTGAAATTCGTATATGAATGCATCATTAACTTTATATACTCACTTCTTCAGACTTACTCTGGAACTTAAAGCCCCCCTACAATGTACTACTCTAGTATGCTGCATCATATTTGCTTTTAAGACTACCATATTTGTGCAGACGTGCCTAAGTTAAGCTTGATTGCAAAAAAATAAGAAAAATATCTGCATTTATAAATGGGTAATCTTACCTTGCTTGCACCAAAACACGAGTGACACGAAAGCTGCAGAAACACATCCTAAAGGCCCTGCGCCACCATATCCCAAGAGTTCGCTGCCGAATACTGCAACTGTTCCGCCTACCAAGAGCATTAGTACCCTCAATGGTACAACAAAAGGGTCGTTTCGTTCTGGGGCGTAGTATGATATAGAGCCCCAGAATATTCCAAAACCAATACCTAAAACAAAGTTAAAAATAACTATAATCTTATTATTACACACTAACACCTGCTTCCTAAAATTTCCTAAGTATATTGTCGCACTCGAGGATTTGGTGTGCTGATTTCAAAGATCACATTTATGTTGGTGTGGCAGCCTTTGGTTGTAAGATTCTGAGATTTTTTAAACTAACCACACCTCAATAAATCTGCGTACTCCGAAGTCTCGTAATCATCATGATGATTGTTATTTTTATCTCGGTCATATCCGACATTGTCTTAGGCTCAAGAGTATCTTACATACTCTGATTCTCTTTCTGATAACATCGAAACTGAAGAAGAAAAATATGACTATAATATGACATCAAGTCAAGTGGTTTATTGACAAAATTTCTTGGATTGTGCAACGAAAAGTTGGAAGTAGGCATTTTCGATGTACCACAACCTAGGCAGCTTTTTTTGAACCACCACGCAGGCCTAAATAACAACGGATATAGTGCGGCTATAGGGGAATACAGAAAGGGAGGTGCCACACGGACTCTGGCGAGGGAACACGTATGCATGCAACATACACACATGGCCCCGCCTTAGATATCTACCGGGTGGTACCTCCGAGTTCGACAGTTAGACCCCCGGCCCCCAGGGACGTGATTCGAGCCCGCGAAGCTCACGGCCACTGAATAGTAGATCCATAACCTACCGCTGCGCCACCGCCTTGCCTAACGGTTCAGAATTTGAAGGCGTGGGTAGTTAGAGATTCGTCATATTCTTATAATAATAATAATAATCTTTATTGATCATAGAAAAAATACACAAGTATTATTATTCATAGACATGTCAGTATCGAAGAAAGAAAAGTGCAGTATCGCAGACATAAAAATACTCTAACCATAATAAACTCAATATACAAAAAGTCACTAATATGATTTTACAAAGTCGAGCAAAATATCAAGAACATTTTTAAATTATCCAAAGCATAATATTCCTCAAAACTGTAAATACAGGCTCTAGTTAATACAGATTTCATTTTACATTTAAATCTGTTTTGCTGAAGCGATCTCACCTCAACTGGCAACGCATTGTACAATTTGATTTCTTCACTGTTGGTTCTAGCTAATCTGTTTGTTGGAAGTACGAGATTATTGCAATGTCTTGTGTTGTATGAGTGAAAATCTGCACACTTAAAAAAGTCTAAAATGTGTTTTCTGACATATATTAATTTTTCATAGATTTTTCTGATAGTAGACTATACTAATTTTGGCAACCATATTCAGCCTATGGACCAAGATATTTGAAGTCATGACGTTTGATAGTGCGGAGGTATACTCAGCGGAGGGTCAAACATTCTGGCCTGCATCGAGAGATCGGGAAAAAAGTTAATGCTGCTATTACTATTAGTTGGCAACCGTAATCTGATAAGATTCAAATTTTGTCGAATCTATGAACGAGCTTGGATAGCGAACCTGAAAAACTTTCGCTTTGGCGATGCACAATTGGGTAACGATAACATCTTATCTGATTTGAAACATTGGGGTTGTAACATGAAGATCTCACCATGCTGTTTATATTCTCATTTGGATCGACTTCCTGAAAATTTTTAAGATTACATTGCAGGACAAGATACAAAATTTTCCCAGGATATCTTTACAAAGGAGGTGGGTCAATCTTTATGGGCATTTAGGAGAGACACCTCATTTAGAAAAATCTTAGACACTTGTTCCTCAACCACGGTTAATAAAGTTCAGAATTAAAGTGTGTAATAAATCATGCTATTGTGGAAATTTTTAACTGGAGTGTAACTTTGAAATTAGAACTGCTAGAAAACATTCAGTGTTGTTCATAATCAGCACACGAAATTAAACAAAAAAAAATCAGTATTGACCGTTTTTATCGCCCTTCGATATTCCGGACATTTAAAATTATCAACCGTTTTTAATTGATACATGAAACGTATTATCAAAAAGTGTCAATTGAACTTGAAAAAGAACACCGTTGGGACCAAAAGGTCGTTCAATAAACAGGGGTCTTGATTCGGCCAGATTTGCATGGAAGATTATCAACATGGAGGATTATCAACATGGAAGCCACAGGATAAGTTAGAGATGTTCGATTGAAACATATACCTGAAGTGTGAACAAATAAGCCAGATTTAAATTTTGTGCATGTAGTACATCACAACTGAAAATTGAATATAATTTATTATTGTAATACTTATTACTGGAGTAATGGCATCTCATCAGAACCTTAGAAAATCTACCTATGACCTATCCTCAACCAGTGCCGTCAGTGACGAAAATTGAAAATACCCTATATGGTACAAAATAATCTGTGGAATCACCCCATGAATATATTAGACCTACTTTAAGTATAGTTGTAGTCACCGTGCTTGGTGGGTCAAAGTAAGACTACCAGTATCCCTGTATATCTCCATCTCCCTCATATATACACATGCAACCTACCCCTGTGTGTGAGCGTTTCTTCGGTAAGCTGAAAGACATACGTTCTTTAGTTGTACGTCTCCTTCTCGAAAACGTTGTCATTACGTATGAGTGTCCTCCAATCATATTTGACATCAGCGTGCAATTCGAGTTGTCTTGTTATCAACCTTCAAAATAAAATTGTGCAATGCCCGGAAATACGATCAATGGAGAATGCCGACAGCTCGTGCTAAATTTATGAGAGCATTTCCAGGAAGAGAATGAAAACAGCGGTCCCCTGTTACCCACGCCATGCGTACTGGAGAGAGTAACAGATGCGCCGAAGATTAGTCTGCGCAGTCATCAGCGAATAAACTCAGAAAATAAGAGAGGTTTGCCCATAGTAACACCTGGCGAAATGATGCCGTCAAAACAGAAATTAGGAATACTTTCTACGATACGAAAAGTAAAGGACAACATCACGAACTCTGTGCGCATTCAGGAGCTTAAAAAAAGGTATATATACAACGCCTCGGATTCAAGTTTAAGGCGTCTATTGAAAGGTTGCGGTTTTTCCTACAAGACAGAAGATAACCGCCGACTTTTGTGTGAAAAATCAGATATTGTTTCCAAAGGTATCTATTTTATGAGACATTATATGAATAACCTGAATAGTACAAGCACTCTCCAATGCGTTGTCTTAGATGAAAGGTGGATATTTGCCAAAGAAACGAGTTTGGCAAGATAAAAACGTAAAGACTTTGAAAATCGGCCATCAGGGTACCGGCATGCGGTATGTTGTTCTCCATGCTGGGACCAAAAACGGTTTTACAAAATCAAAAAGTGTTGACAACCACGATTCCACGGACAAAGATTCTTTCAAGATTGGGTATGTGATGAGCTGATAGCAGCGTTACAAGAGCCATCTTTAGTAACCATGGATAATCCCTCTTATCATAGTGCTTTAACAGAAAAAATGACAAATTCTAGTTGGAGTTTTATGTGATTGAAGTAATGGCTGCAAAACAAAAAGATACATTTTGTCGATGACGCTTTTAAACTCGAGCTTTTAAATCTGTTAATAAACCATCGGCTCAAAGATATATCATAGACGAAATATTACATGAACAAGTTTTGCGGCTCCCTCTTATCATTGTAAATACAACATAACTGAGTTAATCTGAGGAATAGCCAAACAGTACTATGATAGTCATAATGTGGAAAATGGCTATGGTGACAAGGAAGTTTTGAAAGTTTGGGACGATCCTCTAGCGAAGGTGACTCCTACATTTTGGGCCAAGTGTGTGAAACATACTGAGGACTTGATTACAAACGACAAGCATCAAGTCTTAGGGAGGAGAGTATATAATCATTCCCTTGGGAGGAAGTTCAGTCGACGCTGATGAAGAAATCTAATAATTCATACTTTTATTGAAACATTTTCAAAATATATAATTCTTAATTTTGATAGATGTGGAAGTTACAAGCTTGATGATTAAGCCTACATATATTTAAAAGCTCGAGCTTGAGAGCATCATCGCCAAAATGTATTTTTAGTCTAGCAGTGATTTATTCAATCGCATTTCATCCCAGGAAGAATTGAGCATTTTTATTATTGAAGGTTGATGACATAACCGCCAAGAACAGTGACTAAAACTATAGCACTATATAACTAGTTACTATGGTTACCTCCCACAATAGACGCAGGTCCCTGGATGATAACACTTGTAAGCGAACTTGGTGAAAACATGATGCTTTTGATGATTCCAAACACAGCTACCGAAACCGCGTCATCTATCCCTGCTACGGCTATAATGAGTGTAGGAATGCCTTTAGCTACACCGTATCCTTTTGATCTCAGTCGGAACAAACATGGCACCACTACAGCTGGGGATACTGCACCGACAATCGCGCCTGAAAAACAAAAAGAAAAATAAGGTAGACTGACTCCGTACTTATTACGGAATGATATCTTGAATCATTGCTTGAAAGGTGAAACAGTTACTTAATCTTCAGCAGTCCAACATGTTTTGCCGACAGTTCACACACGAACAAATTTAAATTCACGAGCGTCTTTCTCTAATATAAACCACAGCTAGAAGCTAATGTTACAGGAGAATATCCATATGTCCATTCTAGGAGCTTTAATTTTCTCATTCTTGATGCCGAGCTCGACGAGTCTTCCCTTTTCTGGATATTTAACGCTATAGCATGCTCCTCCTTAAGCAATCTGACATCTAACGATATATCCAGATACTCTGCTGTATGCAAAAAGGTGTCCACATATCCTGACCAGTAAGATGTTCGTTACTCTGTTTGTGAAGCTTCCATAAGAATATTGTGATTAATGTGATTTAATGATGTAAGTATCTACTTGAAAGCGACTTAATTACATACCCATGAGTACTGCATAATCCCAAGGAATACGCAATATCAGCGCTGACATGACTGTGACGAGTCCTACTTCTATAAACCATGGTAACAGTCCTACTTTGATAACGGAAAACTTCAGTCTTCTGAGCGCCGATGGGTCTAAGTCGAGACCTGCTCTGATCAGGATTATCACCAAAGCAATATTCCTGAAATATAAAGAATAAAGCTAATGAATTACCTGATCAAACTTCAAGCCTTGACCGATTCTAAGAAGAAACATCTGTATGTATACAGGGTGTAAACGTTATGGTAGACATTATTGAAATGGGCATTAGGAGGTGTCAAAACAAAGTTCATATGACCCATAGTCCAAAAGTCAATAGATTTTTGTCTAAATGGCTTTATAGTTTACAACTTTAAGTGCTTTATATCGACCACAATCTTACTAATTTTCATAATCTAATCTAAAACGTTTTTAAATTGAGTAATTAACAAATAAATGGCATTAAGTTTTTCTAAATTAAGCCAACATTTGTAGTCAGTAAGTAAGTAAGTTTCATTAAATTAAATATTTCAAACACACATGACAACAGTGCGTCGGTCTTTCTCTCTCTTATCAAATCGGCAATCGATCGCAAACGGTAACAGTGGTTAGTATGTTGTTTTGTTTTTGTTCGCGTACGTCGTCGTGTTTACTTACAATGTTCTCAAATCAAGAGTTCGCCGACATGTTGTTAGTTTACGGTGAAGCTCGTCAGAATTCACATCTTCCAGTTCAAATTTATCGCTACAGATTTCGCCAACGAGTACACCCAGACAGAAAGACATTTGTGCAAGTGTACCAAAGACTTCGAGATACAGGAAGTGTTCAACCCACTAATATTCGCACTCGTGAAAGACAGGGTACTGTAGGGCAGGAGGAACAAATTTTAAATATCGTGGAAATCAATGCAGATATCAGCACACGGGAATTAGGCCGCCGCGTAGGACTATCGCATACCATACTCCATAGAATCCTACTGGAAAATTTGCTTTATCCCTACCATGTACAACGAACGGAGGCCGTGTTACCAGAAGACTATCCTCGCAGACTAAGATTCTGTCAGTGGGTTTTGCACAAAACATTGAAAATCTGTATCTTTTTAAAAACATTCTAGCGACGGACGAATGTACTTTTAGGCGAGATGGGATATTAAATTTCCATAATACTCACACGTGGGCCCAAGAAAATCCTCATACCATTCGTGAAGGTCATTTCCAACAACGTTTTAAAATAAATATTTGGGCGGGTATTCTTGACGATCAGGTAATTGACCCTTTCGAGTTACCCCCAAAGTTGTCGGGAGAAGGATACCTTAGCTTTCTAGCAACCTACCAGAACTTTTGGAACAGACCTTAGACAACATGCCGTTACAACGGAGTCAGAATTTGTGGTTTCTTCATGACGGGGCAAAACCACACATTTTTAGAGGCGTCATTCAGTATTTGAATGAACATTATCTAAATCGGTCGAAATGCTCCTGATCCTCGAAAATGGCCAGCAAGATCTCCTGACCTCAATCCGATGGTTTTCTGGTATTGGTGAGAACTTAAAGCGCTGGCTTATGAGGCTGGTCCAATAACAACTGAAGCACATCTTCGCGAAAAAACTTTAAAGCCGCTGAATTAGTAAATGATCAACTTCGAGGACCTAGAGTAAGAAGGTGCTGGGTTCGTCGTAATGAGGCTTGTGTGGAAAGTGGAGGACGACATTTTGAACACCTTCTTTAAATACAAAAAAGGTGCAGTGTAGGTTTTAAAAACAAAAAAAATGTATGTATCAAAATTGTGTGTCGTATTTATAAGTGGATTTTTTAATACGTTCAATAAACTTTCACACACCACGTAGCGCTGAGACAGTTAGTGGTAAGTCCGTTTTTTTAATTATTTGCATTTTACGAGTACATTATCAACACTGCATTCCGTCGTAATTGACTGCTTACATAATCTCAATTATTATATTGAAAGCCTTATTTAAGCATCATTTAGGAGGTCTGTAAATTAAGTCATAAGGCTATTTTTTTTAATTTTTTTATTCCAGTTACAATTTTATATTTTCACCGTAAAAATAACTTCCTTCAGAAGGCTTTCTCACAGCGCTGGAGACTTCTCATAGCAGTGCTGTATCTCTGATACTGGAATAGCCTTGAGGTGATTTTTCAACTTTGGGAAGAGAAAAAACTCACAAGAGTCTCCGTTGCACTCTGCCCAAGGCTAAAGCAAAACCTGATAATCACACCGCTGTTCGAAATTGATGTCATTCATTTTTAGAACACAATAGGAAAAACACACAAAAATCGCTACGGACAATCAAACTTGTACTGAAGGCGGATCACTTGTTCCCTTGTCTACGTCTCTGAGTCCAGCGCATCCAGTGTTGCCAGATCGAACGCTACGTTATCACTCTCATCACTTTTAGATATTTACTTTTCATAAAATACATATATCACTACTTTCTGGAAACTGAGCTGCCTAGAATCAGGAACCTTCAGTGCTTCATAAAGTTTCTCTATTGGATACATGGATATTTAGTGAAGGGCTTGTTTTGTGTTATTTTCAAGAACTTTTAACATTTGTTCACCACTGCCTCCAGGCCAAAATTCCGTATGGCGACAGTAGCTGAATGGGTGCTTTATACAGGGTGATTCACAAGTCGTGACCAAAAATGAAACATAATACACAGGACCGCATTTTAAGAGTCTTCTATGGAAGATTTTTTCCCCGAGGGCTTCATTAAAAACATACCGAGTGTTGAAGTTTAAAAATAAAAAAATTTTTTTTGAATATCTTCAAAACCGTCAACTGGAATGAACTAAAATTTGGTATGTGGATTTACCCAAATATCGTCTACATTCAAAATTCATTACTTACAATTAACGTGCACCAGTGGCGGAGATACAGGGTATTAGTGGCATTATTTTTACAAATGAAGATAGTACGCCACTGTTTTTTGCCTAATCGCGCAATATTTTGATTTTTACCTTCAATTTGCTACAAATAATTACTCATCTGTTTTTTTCATAGTGTGTACTGTTTTTTGTAAGAGTCAAGTCAAAAGTTTCTTTTTTCCATTTTTGAGTGTTGTGAAACGGAATTTAGCAATGATGAGTACGCCGATATTATTTTTGTGTACGGGTTCTGTAATGGAAATCCTTCTCAGGGGATCAACGAAGATTTCTTCACAGACGCCAACCTACCACAAAGGTTTTTCCGCGTTTAATTCTAAGACTTCGGCAATATGGAATTACCCCCCGGAGTTAGAGGACAAGGTGTCCGGCATACTGTTCAAGAGGAGCTGGAAGTGATTATTTTGGCGTTGGATGATCAAAGCATAAGTACCAGAAGGATTGCAGCTCAGTTTAAAGGTTCCCGAAGTCTTGCGTGGAGAATTTTAAATCGGGAAGTTTTACATCCCTACCATCGGCAGAATATGCAATGTCCGCAACCCGGCGACGAAGTGCAACAGCGAAATTTTTGTGAATGGTTACTGCAAATGTATAATCAAAATGCTTAATGAACATATTTGGTCGTTAGAAAATCTTCGTTCGCTGTAAGAATCCAGTCGTTCCAACACAGATTTTCTAGAAATGTCTTCTTCTAGAGAATTACATAGAAAATTTGATAGATGATGTTACCTTAGCAATGAGAGTACGTATGTGGTATCACCACGCATGTTCGTCATGACGTAACCGCATGGTTAAATAGTCATTTTAGACAACGATGGATTGACAGAAACCCCCTGGATTTCTTTTTGTGAGGCGCTTTCAAATAACTAGTGTATGCTGAAATAAATGAATTCCGTATATCAGTTACAAGAAAGAATAGATAATGTGTTTCATCAAATTCAAGCCACAACAAATTTTGCGGAAATACTTTTTTCTTTATCAAAGAGATGCAGCACTTGTATCCGTCAGAATTGTTGTCTTTTGAACATTTATTGAAACAAAGCTTTGATTATTTTATTTGGTTTTGTTTATTTTTACGAAAACAATGCACTCTAGGAACAAAACACAAAAGTAAATATTTGCAGCAAATTGAAGGTAAAATTCGATAAATTGCGCGTTCCTAAAAAATAATGCCACTAATTCCCTGTATCTCCGCCACTGGTGCACGTTAATGTTAAGTAAAGACTTTTGAATGTGGACATTACTTAGGTAAATCCACATACCAAATTTTCATTCCAGTTAACGGTTTTGAAGATATAAAAAAAAAGTTTATTATTTTTAAACTTCAACACCTCGTATATTTTTAATGAAGCCCTCGAGGGAAAAATGTTACATAGAAGACCCCCCTCAAAATGCGGTCCTGTGTATGATGTTACATTTTTGGTCACGACTTGTGAAGCATCCTGTACATTGTGTTTTTTACTATTTTAGAAGATATCTCTAAAAAATTATAACTTAGGTGTCTCAATCTTTTTGTCAAGCTTTCTATACGTTTTTTCCATTCCGAATGATTATCGATACTGATCCTGAATTATTCTACTTTTCATATTAACAAATTTTCCCGAAATACTTGTGAAGTTTTATTGGTGCAAGTTGTTCAAGGAGGTATTTAAAACATCGACGCATAAAATGGGTACATCAATTTTTGTGGGAAAACTTTTTATTTCACAATAAAGGATGAGAAAACGTGTTTTTTGGAATCAATCGGAACTGTTGACAGGAACGGAAAAATGTTTAATATAAGGTTTTTAGGTATTTATGAGACCTACAAAATGAGACCACACGTAAAAAGATCCGACTAATAGCAAAAATGTTATGGCCGAAAAACCAGGCAAAATGCAGGTTTTGGCACTTGTTGATAATGCTTCGATAATTTCTTTCAACTACTTGACATTCTTCAAATCCGTAAGATTTGTACTTGTAAATAATAACAACAAAATTGGAGTATACTGCTCAAATAGTTTTTTGAGAATTTCTAATTGATTATCCCAAAAAACCTATTTTCCGGCCATCAGTACTAATTTATTGAGCAATATACAATGTTCTTTCAAACAGCATTTCATAGCAAAATACAGGTACTTACCTTGGCAATATGAATCACAAACCATTCCGAAAGGGAAATGTTATTTTTATGCGAAAAACAAAGATTACGTTTTTCTTCTAAACAAACATTTCGTATTTGTGAGTAATTGAACAAAGGCGCTACGATATTCGAAAACATACGTTACTATACACATTTTAAAACAAAGCGCATGTGTCTATCATCTTTTGTTGCGAATCACTCGCAAATATGAAACGTTTGAATTTGTTTAGAAAAAAAAGCGTAACCCATCCTTTTTTGCATAAAAATAATTTATCTTCCGGAATGGTTTGCGATTCATATCGGCAAGGTAAACTATGGTATTTTGCTATAAAATTGCCTTTGAACTAACCCTGTATATTGCTCAATAAACTAGTAGTGTTGGCTGGAAAACAGGTGTTATGGGATAAAAAATTAGAAATCCTCAAAAACTACTTAACCAGTCTACTAAAAATTTGTTGAGGTTATTTAAAAGTACAATTCCTACGAATTTGAAGAGGTTCAAATATCTGCGAGAAACCATCGTCGCATGACCAACAAGTGCCAAAGCCTGCAGTTTGCCTCGGTTTCCGGTCATAACTTTATTGCTAATACTCGTATGATTTTACAAGTGGCCTCATTTAGTAGGTCTCATAAATACCAAAAAATTTTATATGAAGAGTTTTTTTGTTCCTACCAACAGTTTCGATTGAATCCCATAAAACACGTTTTCTCATTCTTTGTTGTCGAATAAAAAGTTTTCCCACAAAAATTGGCGAACCCGTTTTATGCGTCCATATTTTAAATCCTCTCTTGAACAACTTGTAGCAATAAAACCAGGCTTTACAATTATTTCGCAAACCAGGAGTCTTTTCGTCTAACATGATGAGACTATCTACTGTATCCTTAATTTTGACTCAATAATAAATTTCGAATTTGAGAAATACATGCTGACGCAAGCAAACTTTTCTTCCTATTGGTAATAAATTATTATTCAAAAGCCCTGTGATACGCTCAAAATCATCTTCAAAAAGATTTTCAAGGAACTTCAAAACTTCACAGTGTAAAAACATAGCTTTATCGTAAGCAAGCCGGATAACTTCACTAGTGTAGGTAGATTGGGATGTACTTAAATCCAATACATATAACCTCTAACCCCGAGCTCCTAATCTTTAGCTCTTGTAACAATTTTTTTTGAAAATTATTTTGGTCTTCAACAATTAAATAAATCCTAACAGTACTTTCCCAGTTATATACAGGCCTAGGATTAGCGGACAGACAGACTGACCGATGGAAATGGCTGACAGTTTTCCGTGATGCACATCCAGAAAACATAAGATGCCATTTCCTAGATGTTTTTTTGATTACAATACTTCCTCGACAGTGATGTGGGAAGTAAAAGCAACAAAATATTTACTCACCTCAGCTCCTTAGTGATATGTTGGAATGAAGAATCTATATTTACAATGCTAACGTTCTGGAGCAGTACTCCTGTGAAGAGCATGCCGATCAATGCCGGTAAAGTAGTGAGACTCATCAGCCACCCTCCAAAGTGGGCCGCGATGCTAAGGATGATGAGTTGGAAGAGGTGGCCGTTAGGTGGCGCTGCTGTGTCACCCACGATGGCATACACCACGCACCATGTTAGCACGCCTATCAGACCTACGGAGTTATAATACGTGAACCACTTGATTGCCCAAAAGAAATATACATTGGCCGAACGATAAAAAAACTCAATTTTTGTCAACAAAAATCTGAGGGTATTAGGCGCTAAAGTTACGCCCTAGAGTATAAAGGAGCAGTCTGTGAAGTGATAGGTAATAGAGTACAGCTTAACGCCCAGTCATGGTTGCTAAGTAAATATCCATTTAGCATTTTGCTTAGTAGGTGTAAATTTTTTCTAAGGTTAAATGTAGGAGATCCTGAAAAAGTCTCTAATAAGGTCAATAGATTCCAAAGTTTCTGCAAAAAGAAAGTATTTTTCCGTAATGTCGACAACTCTATAATATCCAACCTGTGTTAATTTTTTAATGTGTAAATTTATACAGAGCGGGCGCTAAAGTAACTAAATCATTCTTGGGCATAAAATAGTCTATAGGCTGAAAAGTTGGAACTAACAATCGGACAAATCGGAAAACCTGATCATCAAGTACACTTCTTTCCACTCGATCGTTAATAAAATGTTGTACTATTTCCGGCTAATAAGCGTTTACCTATATCCGCAAAGCTCCAGGCCTTAGGCTCTGACTTCATGTCGCGGATCATGAACACCCTCTTTACGTTCTGAATACACACACGATCATTCAGGAAATAAGAAAACACTTACAAAAATAACTCAAAAAGTTCCTATAAAGGTAGTGAATGTCACCGCTTCAATTCTGAAAACAAGCTTCACTATATTTTCAAAGTAGAAGGACAGGCAGCAGCGGTGGCCGCAGTAGTAGACTCTTTGGTCTCCTGATCAGTCGCCGTGGGCTGTGCGGGTTCGAGTCCCGTCCCACGAGAAATTTTTCTCCTGGCTATGGATGTTGTGATTGTCCTTAGGTGGTAGACGGTCTCTGACTGTCGAACGCGGAGGTACCACCCGGCGGATCTCGTAGGCGGAGCCAGAATGTGTGCATGTCGCATGCACACGTGTTCCCTCGCCAGACTCCATGTGGCGTTCCCCTTTGCCCATGTATCCCCCTATAGCCCCACGGTACCCAATGGGTGCTTAGGCCTTAGGCCTTCGTGGTAGTTGGAGTATAAAAAAAATATTCTAAAGGCGGCGACTGAATCACATCGGGCGTTACGTTACAAAGTCCGTGATTTGAGTCCAGCGAATGTTCACTTGGAATGCTCGGCTCAATAGTGCTCCAAATTTTTCTACTGCAGTCTGTGTGGAAATAATGGACCTAGAAGTAGCTAGTGCTGCATTCAAAATAAAAAAAAATTAATTTTTTTCTCAATTTTATTTTTATTGTGTAATTCTAAACAATGTTGCTGTAAATTGTTGCCTAAAATTTAACGCCAGCTGCTTCACTTTTTTTACAAACAAATTCAAAACTTCTCTCAATTTTGTTGACTGTACTGAAAAAAGTATTACGCTAGTCCGGCAAGAAATTTTAAAATTTGGCACATTTAATATAGTCATATAGTATGACACTTGCAAGATTATTTATTGAATTATGGACAATCTTAATGTTTGTAATGAATCTCAGTTCCACAGTTGTTTTTAATTACTTAAAATCCTTCTAGTGTACCCAAGGTTTTCTTCGGAGCAGTAACTTTAAGACTCTAGTTTGAGTGAGAGAGAGTTATTTTACAAAGCGTGAGCGAGACAGTAGACGTGCCATTTTCTTCCAAACTGAAGCAGTCGCGTTCAATTGTAGGCAACAATTTACAGCAGCATTGTTCAGGACTACCTAATAAAGATAAAATTGAGAAAAAAAAGAAATTTGTAAATAGTAACGTGTGAAGATTGTTTCTGCAGCTAGTGTTGCCAAGCATTATGTATTTTGATTTTGTTATACTCGTAATATTCCGCATGTTGCGTATCCCATAGTATACTTTTATGGTATGGTTAATTAATTTTTACGTCCACTCAAGGGCAAATTTTGTGTCCGTTTTGGGCGCAATTATCATTCATATCCCTTTGCTTGTGGCATTTTGCAACTTGATATCCAATTTCACGGCACTGAGCACCTCTTTTACCCTATATAAATAAATATCTATAATAACTATTCAGTGTAAAGCTCACGCCTTGACACTTGGTACTTTACTCTGAGAAATGCGATACTTACTTATAGCTACTATTCTTGTGAACTGTCTATACGTTGGACAGAATGGATAAGGACACATTTTGTGCCATAAGGGTGGGCTCCAAGATGGTACGCCTTCATCTTTAGACCGGCATTTGAGGCAGAACCCATACCACCAAGACCTGAAAAATAATAAAAACAGGTTCTAGTTGACAGTCATGAGAAGGAAATGGAAATCCCACAGAATTCAAAGGTCTAAAATTTGACAAGGTTTCGGACACTTCCCAACTTTTACGGAGAAGTAATTCCTATTGTTTTTCAGCTTTTACGTTATTTGCAATTTTCAGATACGATAACGTAATCTGTATCGTTTTTGGGGTGTGCATTGCTCAGGCCAGATTAGTGGATGATCATGTAACTTTTTTGAGTCGGTTAGTTGTCTCTTATGACGAAACCGAAAATGTAAAACCTTCGCAAACGAAGAATTACTAGTACTCCGATTGACTTTAAAAGCGGGTATAGACACCTATGCTAATTGTAAGATCCACTGTTATTCCTTTCCATCATCGCGTTTCATCAGTTGCTTGACATGAATAAAACCAAAGGTTGCGCGCGTATCAACTTGCTTGAGGAAAAGACTCTATTATATACTTGACGACCATATGACGTCGGATATAACAGACACAACATCTTGCATGATGACTTGCCAGTAAAACGTACGAGTACCATAAGTGTCTATGCCAGCCTTTACAGACCTATATTTCCAACTCATGTATTTTATTGCTTTAGGTGTGAACTACCATGTCGATATAATTGAATCTAGTTTGTATAGAGACTGCTGCTAACGTTACAAGAAAACAATGTATTATTGTTAAATATTTTCTGATATTATTTAGCTGTAATACATTACAATAAAGACGTGCCCTGGGGAATAAGATAATATTTGTGATATACGTAAGACTGAGATTTCAAAAAAAAAAACGTTACCTTCCTAGCAACTTGACACATATTTATGTAAATCGAACTATTTGGTATGGAATTACAAAATAAGCCTTTTTTCTGACGTCGTAATACCTAAACGGTGATGAATTAAAGCCTTTGGTGCAAAAATGTGTTAACCCAGATTTTATAGTTTGGAGATAACATCCTGACATTTTTTATTGAATAGTGTTAGGGCTGCTTTTATTATTGAAGGTTACTTTAGACACATAAAAGTATCTCGAATAGACCGTTTTGTTGAAAAAATTTGAAAAAGATTGTTGAAAATCTGACTTAAAACCTGTTTAAAAAACTGTTATTTGCTTGGTCTGCAAGATGAAAGTAGCAGAAAGGTGTCAGTTCAATGATGTTATTTATTAAAAGTAAACATTGTTCTTTTTTCTTATTACATACTCACAAAAGAAATAACAAATAATCCACACACTGTCTCGTCTTCATAAATTTTGATAAAAGCTTCTAAAATTTGATAGAATTGGAGGAATGTGTTCCTGACTGTTATCAAACTTTTCGACCCCAATAGGTCGGCTTCTATCGATATTCAATAATAATGGTGCATTTTCTACTCTACTATCGAGATGTCGCTGTCTTCTTATATCAACAATAGTCCAATTTTCCGTTTAATCAAAAGAGTATGTGTACTTGGTTACACCGAATTCCTCAATCTGGATCTATCTTACATATCTGAATGAAAATTTCTCTCTCGCCATGATTGAAATATATTGATCCATCGTATAAATTAGTTAGTGCTTTCTGATAGACTTCTCTACAGCTGCGAAATCCCTATCAGAGTCCATGGAGGAATGTTCTACTTCAGGGAACTTAAGGTCAATTTTTTTGAGCACTCCAGAGATTATTAGGTAGTGCCATAGGCAGACAACATAAATTTTATAATTCTAGCCACCTGCCGAATTACTCCATGCAATCAGATGATCGGAAGCCATGCCTTGATCCTTGATATTTTCCACAAAATGCCATAAGTGAGCTGCCAATTTCTTCAGGACCGCGACTTCTTTTGTCATCGGTCCAGACGTGAAAAAACCTTTACTATTTGGTTGCTGTGTTGATATCAAATGTATTTCTAGATTGTAGAACCATACTTGTCGTAAATAGAAGGCTTTACTTGTAGAAATGAGGTATAGTTGTCGTCACCGTTCTTGGCGGGTCAAAGTAAGACTACCACTATCCCTTTATATATATATATATATATATATATATATATATATATCTCCCTCACAAATACACATGCAACCTACCCCGTGTGTGAGCGTTTGTTCCGTAAGCTCAAAAGTTTTTTAGTTTTCCAGTGTCTGGTGTGTCCATCTCGAAAGCTTTGTGGTTACGTATGAGTGCCCTTCAATGATATTTGTCAGTGCGACAACTTACACATCGGCGTGCAACTCGAGTTGTCCTGTTATCAATCTTCAATATAAAATTGTACAATGCCCGGGAATAAGATCAATGAAGAAGGCCGACAGCAAATTTATTAGAGTATTTCCAGGAAGAGAATGAAAACAGCGCGGTCCCCTGTTACCCACTTCATGCGTACTGGAGAAAGTAGGAGATGCGCTGAAGATTAGTCTGCGCAGTGTTCCGCCCATGGTACGGAGACTCGATCTGTTTACCTATTTCATATGGAGCTGATGTAACCGCCAAGAACGGTGATTACATTTGTATATGATTTTTTCTCTTTTGCTATTCCTCCATCAGATATATATATATACGTCAAGAGCTTTTTTATACTTTGCAAAATGTTCCTCATTCGATCCTACATCGCAAAGATTTTTACATTTTAAACGAAAACTGAGTTAACACCTTTTTACCAATAATTCAAGAGATAACAGCTTTTAAAGTTTACAGATTGAAGTTTTTCATATAGTTAACACTTTTATGAATCTATGTATCTAAGAACTGAGAGCCATCTTTGGCCGGATAGATGTACTACCAAAAACACCCTTGTTGCACTACAAATCTCAGAATCCGAAAAAATTGAATCAACACCTTTTCGCACCAAAGTTTCAAATTTTGACCGGTAGCAACTTATACAAACCTTTCAGTATCCTGCATATCTGAAAATCTGGTTGCCCTAGAATGCATCGAGTCTGTTGTGGACAATTTCTTGCATCTGTCTCCATTTGTTTGATGGTGCTGTCTGCCACATTCTATAAAAATATCACATGAATCACAGTGCATCCTAAGCCGGGATTATTAAAAAAGTTTAATATGCTTGCTTCCTAACACTACATTTTCCGTGGAACTGTGCTGTAACCATTCCAGAATATCAGAGTGATTTGGCTGATTGTTTGGTAGACGATTATTTGTTGAGGTCGCCTGAATGGAAGGAGTGTGCAGAACTTTTTGTAGGATTCCAGCGGAACATATCAGGACCGTACTCGCCACAAACAAAAGTATTAGTCGATGATTAGGTAGCAAGCTCTGCAAGTAATCATTCGCTGTGGAGATATAGAGGCAAATAGCAATTTGTCACTTCTCATAAAGTGTTTGTAACTAGGTATTCGCAAGACATGTTTGTAAACCTTAAACACAAAAATAGTCACACGAGTACATATTATCATACCCAAGCTCATTTGAGGATTGGAAGAAATTATTTTTTATTGAGAACCAATGGGAATAAGAGCCGCAACAAGCTTATTCCGCAATAATTCTAGGATGTAGGAGAGATGCAAGAGCAATAATTCCTGGTCCAGAAGTTGCTGCAACCCGCATTCTGAACTAACAAGTGATTAAGTGAGAAGTAAGATGGTTTTCGTAGACGAAATAATTAAAATATGGGATAGAAGTTATTAATGTGAGTAGAATAATTTCGAGAAAAAATATTCTTAGTCTTCACAGCGACCAAAAATCAGTTTATACGAAGGTTCAGTTCAAATCATTGATTTTCAAACCTACATATGGGTACATTAGTAACGTAAAACAGATCAACAGTGCATAAAAAAATGACTTCAGTTTGTCAACGATTAGACGCAAATCTCCGCGGTCTGCAATTCTCAATCTGTTCCTTATTCCTGTTAATAGATATGTAACAACACTAAAATATTTTTCTAAATGGTACGAGGAGGGAAACGCTATGAAAAATTTTCTTGGAATTTCCCAGAGGCCAGAATATTTTCGGGTATTGCCTTTTTCACGAGTATACATTACGATAGAAAGCAGTTGATTATTTGGTAATATTTCAAAATTGCCCATATCAACAATTAACACATAATTTTGACGATCTCATCAACGCCGGGTAGACATTTGTTTTGGTTTTTTGTATGATACAGATACATTTAGTACTTGCTAACAATTATTTTATTTCGAAACGTTCATTTGCATACAAAAAAACGCCAATGCCAATGTTACAAACTGATACAAAGATGTCACTTGCTGATGAGCTGTTTATCTCAGTAGGTGTCAAAACGTGATAAATACTCGTGAAATAGGGTTTATTTCTGACTTCTTCCAAAATGGTTGATAGCCTTTTTTTAAATTTCACTTTCAGCTCCTCATTAGTTCAAAGATTGAGTAGCTTGAGCAGCTCGTCTTGTTATACCTCATTTGCCATAGACCCTTTATCAAATAAGTTTTTGATCCATGGTGGTACCATCGTCAGAATTTCGTCAAATCTGTTCTTAAAGTCATTGTGCCTGGCATTTAAATTTTGAACGTAACAAGCTTAGAAACTTGTACCAAATATCGAAAATACCAGTTTTTAGGAGGAACAGCTGACCTTCTTAAAATATTATCTAACAACGTTTTTTTTCCTTACTTTTCCTTACACCCTAACGTAAAACTCCGCTGGGGGTTCACCTGGACCAATTTGGGAATGATTTAAATGTTCAAAGAAACCATAAAGATTTTGTCCCTGAGGGTTCCATCCGCTTGTGCCTTATCTAACATCCTGCTATTTCAAAAATACAAACAGGTCCAAGACCTTCCTTAAATAGGTAACTTAATACTCACCAGGCTTTCCATGTAAGCTACAACTATCCACATCGCCAACTCTGTGCAGGATGCTCTTTTTTCTGACTGGTCCTAGTTCTGTATGGTCCGAATTGATGGATATCTTCCGACTAGGTGAGTCAAAAGCGAGATTGTCATGTCCAGCATGGCCATCTGCAATGCTCACCCTTCTGGATCTGGCCTGGTCCCCATGGACTGGATCTTGCTGGGGCTCCACACTGGTATCTGACGGGGCCGAAGTAATAAAATAAGTCTAATGAAATATTCCCTTGTTTTATAATTTTAAATAGATATAAAATTTACTGCTCGTCTATTCACTTCGAGATTCCTCAATTTCTAAAAAAATCAACCACATCTTGTATTTTTGGGATTTTAAGATTTTCAAAATTCAACTAAGATCTGATCGAAATTCAGAAAAATGTTAAGCTTGGATAATTGGTAGTTTATTAGATTTCTCATTCCTAATGGTAAAGAGTTTCCTATTTCCCAATGAAGGAGTCCAAGTTATTTGAATAAAACTGCAGAATATGAAATGTGATGGAAAATTATTTTTGAATATCCTCTAAATTTACTTCGCTTCAAATTATCCAAACAGTATTTTTAAGAAACTTCATCAATATAACACTTTCTGGGGCGTTTTGACTATCACCACAAAAATACATATATACTGAAAACCACTGACGTCGTAATGCGCAATGGTTTCCGTGACCGCATTCTCGGGTTGTTAGGCAACTAGGTGCTTCTATCTCTTTCTAACATACATATCGCACGTTTATCGCGCTTCTCTCTCGTATACATTACGACGTCAGCCAAATTTGAATCTCACCGTATGACGGAAGGTGAGGTTTTGCATGGCGGAATACAGATCTCCGAGAGAAAATGATTTGGTTCGAACTGAATAATGTAGAAGGTACTATCAGACGTTCCCTTCACAGAAGATATCAAGGGTATTTTGCATCATGTACCTGCTAAATGAGGCAAACAGCGGCTTTTTCTAGTCTTACCAAGGAATTCCTCTAACCCCTTTTATAACAGCAATGAAGCTCTTGCATTTAGACACTGCCCACCAAGGATTTATCGAAAACTACTGATTAAAATAAAACAGTCGAGACACGTCAAAATATTTGTCAAGGGGGACAGCTTTTTAACCAAAAGCTACTTCCCCCCTTTCACCCTCGGCCCCCCAGGGTCATTCCCTTAGAAATTTTAAATGACAAGGGGTATCGAGTAATAGCTTGTTTGAAAGGTCTTTCGAAGGCTTCTATTCTGACGTTTGATTTTTTTTCAAATCAGTCGATTCGTTTTCGAGAAAATTAGAAACATCCTTATATATCTTAATCTGTTCAGATAGAAAACAAAAGTGTTCAAAATGTTGCCCGTTAGGGCTTGCCAAATCTACAATTCGTTTATAATTTAAAACGGAAACTACCAACATAAACAGCAATTCGGAAGATTAGACGTGACAACAACCAAATAATAACCCGAGTTTTTTCCGCATTCTTTTCATCTATACGGATATCCTGGGCGAACTGTATTTATTGTTATGCCTTTTTAGTTATTTGTTGCTAAGGGAAAGAAAGAATTTAATTCTCTGTCAGTTACCTTAGTGACAATCTTGGGATAGTGAAAATTTATTTATTGATTCAGATTTTACTTCCAAAATGGTTTACAGACTAGCCGATAGAGTGGAAATGATTCTAATTCATGGTGCCCAAAATCAATGTGATCGGCAAACTGACGTCACGTTTAACGCCCGGGCATCCGGGGAAGATAGCTCGCATAGGTATATTTTGGACCTTGTTACTAAATTTACTCAAACTGAATCTGTTGCAAATAAAAACGTGATCATCGGAGAGTTTTTGATGAAGCCGCTCAAGTTGATGTTTTGCGTCATTTTGGAATAAATCCTAATACTTCATTACGCAAAATTGTGTCATTTATTTGGATATGTTGGGAAATACTATGAATCCGCTTAGCACTGAAATTATTGAAAACCAAATCGAAGCGGATGGAAACTCTGTACTTGATGAGGTTGAAATATATTTCCAGCAAGATGGCGCTCCTCCTCACTATGTGACAGATCTCATGATTTGACGCCATTAGAACTTTTTCTATGGGGCTATTTGGAATCTGTTGTGTTTACTCCCCAACCTGAAAGTTTGGATGAACTTCGTTAACACATCATCGAAAGCTGCCATGGTATCCCACATCATCTTTTTGAAAATGTCAGTACGGAATTTTAACATCGCCTACATCATTATTTGGCATTCGCCCTGGATAAGGGATAATTGACAATACGTCATATTTTTGCTTGTGAAAGTTTTCAAGTTTTTCAATAGAAAACCCGATTTAAAAACATGGAGACTCTGGAGGTCAAAGTAATGATCCCCCAGCGTCCCCGATGATGAATGGAACCAGACAGAAGGAGAGAACAGAAATTACCAAGCAATCAAAGGAATTGATGACACCAGCTGTAGCAGACGAAAAGGACGGAACCATCCAGCGCCAGACCCTGATCATCGAAAGTCAGGCCCAGCAAATAAAGGAGTTGACTGAGACCATGAAATCAAAGGAATTAATGACACCAGCTGAAGCAGACGAAAAGGACAGAACCATCCAGCGCCAGACCCTGATCATCGAAAGCCAGGCCCAGCAAATAAAGGAGCTGACTGAGACAGTTAGAGATCAAAACAGTAAAATAGACTGCCTGACCACCCAGGTAACACAGTTAATCAATAATGCAAATTTTAATTCTAAATCGGACAAGGCTGTCAATTTAAAAAGACCTCTTGAAAATTTAACTGACGTGACATCGACCGACGATGGAATACAGAATGACGGATTCATCCAGGCCAAGTCTAGGAAACAAAACCGACAAGACGGATGACTTCCCACCTCAAAATTCAAGTTGACAGTCCCCTCAAAACCTTCTGCTTCATTAAACGTATCAACTTTTTCTGCCACTTGTCCTATGACGGTCGATGCAGCGACCACATCTCTCAATCTTTGGCCACTGCATCGACTGACGGTGCATTATCTCAACAATCTCACGTTGCTGGTGAGTTGACCAGCACAGCACCCCGCCAGGGGCGAATCACGCCAATTGTTTTGCGTGATGCGAAAAAGTAGCGACATCTAAGCTATACCTTTATAATCTTAGGCATTAAGATAGAACGCGCAGTTGCCGTTGATGCAGGAATCAGGATTTTGCCGAAAACTGAGGATGACTACCGAAGAATCGTTCGCCTGTTCAGGGAGGAGGACGTGCCCCATCATACGTTCCCCCTTCCTTCAGAAAGAAATATTCACGCTGTAGTCAGAGGCATACCCGCAATGTTTTCGGAATAGGAGATCAAAGGGGAATTAGAACAGAGGGGATATACTCCTCTCCACATTATCCGACTCAAACGCAGTGGCGGCGCACCCATGCCTTTGGTGGTCGTAATACTGCCCAAGATTGAAAAGTCCCAGCAGCTGTTCAATGAACATGAGCTGCTGGGTCTAGCAATCAGAGTTGAAGTTCAAAAGAACTCTAGACTTATTGGGCAGTGTCACCGCTGCCAAAGGTATGGTCATGGCCAGTCTTACTGTACAGCACCTCCCAAATGTTTAAAATGTGCTTCCGACCACATGACACATTTATGCCCCCCTACAGGACAAGAGGAGCGAAAGTGTGCGAACTGTGGAGGGGCGCATCCCGCTAACAGTCCCACTTGCAGATTCACCCCCAGGAGAAATCTGAAAGTCATAGCGCAAAGACGCAGCAAGTCATACGCGGAAGCAGCCGTCTCAACATCTTCGGCTGCCCCCTCTGTTCAACCCGCTTTGAATACGCAGAATGTAGACCTAGCAACTGCGCTTGGGTCCCTTCAACAAATAATAAGTCCCCTGATTAGCGCCACTAAGGCATTGCAGGCGATCTTTCCGCAGCCATTGAATGGCTAAGTACAATAGACAACCTGCATTTATCATCTGTCAGGTATCTTGGAGTCATCATTGACAAGGGATTGACCTGGCAGAAACATACTGATATTTTGAAAACAAAATTCAAAAATACCTTTCGGCAGCTTTATCCTCAGTTGTGCAGAAATTCAAAATTAAGTTTGATCAACAAGATTCGGTTGTATAAAATGGTCAAAGACCCAAAATCACCTACGCATGCGCAGCTTGGTGTTTTCTTGCCAAGACGCACATGCAGAGACTTCAAGTCCTGCAAAACAGAACCCTACGCACAATTACTAACGCCGCTTGGTACGTGTCAAATGAGACTATTCACAGAGATCTTGATATCCTATATTTAAGGGATTACGTAAAACAACAGGCGTAGTGGCGTTATAATCAAGCGGAATCGCACAGCAACCCTCTGTTGCGTGATTCAGTAGGCTACACAGTCGAGCAAGTTCGCAAACATTCCAGGCCGCGCCTCGCACTGTGATCAAAATTAAATTGTAAATTCAGACCAGCCAAAATTATTTCAGTAAACAACACCGATCAAAATAATTCGAGTAGTCAAAGCAATAATGCTTAAGCTATTTCAAATGATTTACTTCTTTTCTTTGCTCTATTTCTTCCTTCCTTTCTTTCCTTTTTTCCCTTTTTCCCTTAAACATGTTTGGTATCTGGGTAGCCAGACCTGACAGACTAACAGACCGACGAGACTTTTAACAAGCAAAGGTCCACCGGACCTCTCTGACAAATAATGACGAATAGTATAGTATCATTATTTGGCCACATTTTGAACACTTATTGAAATAAAAAGTGATATTTTCTTGTGCTTTTGTTTTCTATCCAAATTGAGATAAATAAAGATTTTTAAATTTTCCTGAAAACGAATCGATCGGTTTTAAGAAATCAAACGTCAAAATAAAGGAATTCGAAGGACCTTTCCGATAAACTATTACTCGATACAAAAAGTTACCCCCTCTGACAAATATTTTGACGTGTCTCGTCGTTTTTTTTAATCGGTGATTTTCGATAAATCCGTGGTGCGAAATTTGGACATAGTTAAAATATCTTATACGGGGTGTTTCAGAACTATGGAGTCAAACTTGTAGGGGTTATTCAGTGTAACAGTAGAAAACATTTGAGTATAGGGACCCATATCCGGAAAAGTGTCACTACGGCCCTAAGACGCGTTAAAATTTAGAAAGACGATGAATTACCCAAATAGGATTTAATGCATTTAATTTTTGCCTTTTCTACATGATATCATCAGAACAAATGTC